AGGATACCAAAGCCTCTAGGTCTTCCGGTAGCGACACAAGTTGAAGGTACTAGCCAATTCCAAGATGTGGGCCCATGAGACGAACACCAACATAGCCGGCTACCCGTGCATCTCCGCGATTCTCTACACTCTTCCTCCCGAGATATTTTGTTCAAAGGAGGCCTATAAATTTACCGCTTGTTTGAACCAGGTTTTCCTTCAAAACAAGAGCTGGTGGGCTAGTATTCCTTCCTGCACGAGTTGCATGCATCGATTCAATTGGCATGTTGCGCATATACTAACAGCATCAGTGTGAGTCCCACCGTTATTATTTCTCGACAAAGGGAACATGACGTGCATACTATCATTGGGGGGGTTCTGTAAAAACTTGACAATATGACCGGCCAAGGGCTACCTTCTTCATCATTCCCTGTAATTTCACTCATCATAGTATACCTTCCTTAGTACCATCTGCAAAAAGAATGATCTCGATTCACTATGTACAGAGTAATACAGAGAGATGCCGCAACCAGACGGCACTTGCGGGGAGTAATGTAAAAATGTCACGCGCGGGTAACACTATCCGATCCGCGCGCGTCTGTCACGCATCTGTCACGCCCTTGGGCCCTTGGAGTTCTGTAAAATCTACCATACGAGCACTTCACAAGCCTGCAGCTATTATCGGGTGGGCGCAGGAGGTTTACACATACAAGAAACACCTCCTCTAGGCAAGCTGATATATGCCGGGGCCGTGTAGGCTGGCAGATCTACCCATCAAGTGGCCATCAGACCTGTTACAGTGGGCATTTTGGACGGTGTTCAACCTCCCATACGACAAGGGGCCAACTTGAGGCATTTCTGACTTCACAGACCATCTGTATGGTATACAATGCATATACGTACCAACCCGCTAAGCTCCCTGTAGCATACTTCTCGAGATTTCGGAGTTCTGTAAAAAATCTGACTTTTACAGAACCCCCCCAATGATAGTAAGGAGGATCATACGTACAAGACGATACGACACAAGAGTTCATTATGTAAAGTTCATGCGGCGATTGCCGGAGACGCATTCTTTCGCCACATTCGCCACATTACAGGATGTCCTCCATACCGCGGTGCTCATAACTTGAAGGCGCTGCTACATATTGCGGCAACACGTCACAACCCGTCGTCATATTCACCTAAAATTGGACTGGCAGTATCTCGGCCGATCCAGCACCAGTGAATCACGAGGTCATCGAAACTGGGCCAGAGCCGCTGTTCCGTTTGCGTCTCGACTGCCAGTGTGCGAGACATTATAACGAACTGGTCTAGGTAGGCGTGCATTTCAGAGTTAGCCTGTATACGACTTTGCTTGCAATCATTGCTGGCCATATTTTTACCCAAATGACCACTCCACTAAGTTCATCCGAGCTTGCCATGCTCGAATCAATTCACGCGCAGCACGCGGATCTCACGGCAAAGACGAAGGCAAGTGGTACAACGAGGCTTCTTGGAGCACTACCGTGACCTTTGAGTATCAGGCGATGATAGAGAAAGTCATGATGGCAATGCTTTGCATGGTAATCAACATCATGATTGGTTTCTTAGCCACAACGCGTCTCTAATGTCACATTCGGAACCAGTCTCGCGCTTCCTGGGAACAAGGCGTAGCTGCTCAGGCGTTGTACGAGTTCCACTGCGCGTTTCGATCCGACTACGGGCCAGAATATTTCGTCTGTATGGCCCATGATGGTGAGTGTGCCATATCCCGGACAGCAACCTAAATCCTTGAACGCCCCCTGCACCCTGATAGCTGTTGTGCGACAAGGAGACGACGGGCGCCTGAGTGCTCGTCTGTGTCAGGGAGATCAGTATGTCGTGACTTCGCTAGCCATTTCTGACCCGCTTTCGTACTGAAGGAAACACAGAGGCTCCGTAGACACGACAGCAATCTTAGAAACGCTCATCCACGCACATGAAGTAACCTCCGAAGACTACTACCTGGACGCCTCGAAGCGTGCCATAGACTATCTCCTGCATAAAACTCCGAGAACGTCTGATGGAATATGGAGTCGTGCGTGTACATGTGGATTGGTTTCTGACATCACCTTACCTCTTTTTTAGATCTCGCGGGTAAAGTACAGCTGTGGGTAGACGCAATCTACATGGGTCCTCCAGGCCTCGCCGCTGCGGGTAGTTTGTGGTATAACGAAGGTTATATCAGAGAGGCTTATCGTCAGACCATGGCTTATGTTAAGGTACTATGGGATGAGGACGAGCATCTGTTCTCGCATATCTACGATCCAGGAAAGGGTGAATATATTCGCCAAGCCTTTTGGGGTAAGTGAAAGATCCTGGGTCGTTCGCACCTTGTCGTTCACCTAGATCTCCTTTCGGATGCTCCTTTCAGGAGTCGGGAACGGATGGGCCATTGCTGGCATGGCGAGGTGCGTTGGGGCATACTACCGTTTTCCAATCAAACTAAATAGGATCCCCGGCCACCGTTCCGCTTCTCATCCTAGGGTGTTGGACTTCCTGCCACCCGACTGGGAGCCCGAGAGAGACGCCCTTCTCTCGGTCATCATACGGACGATAACTGCAATGCTACGCCATATCCGCTCGGACCACCTTTTCCACGACGTCCTAAATGACCCGTCTACCTTTGTCGAAACCAATGCTGCTCAGCAGCTATCATACACCATACTGCGTCTGTGCCGCAAAGGTCACCTAAGGGGAAATCCGTGCGAACGGGATTGGCGGATGGAAGCTCTGAGAATGAGAGACGCTGTTTGGTTGAAGGTTGACAGGTGGGGTCTCGTGCAGGGTGTGTGTGGGAGCCCATCTTTCGATCGTATGTGTTCGGCCTCTCCAGACATACGGTGCGACGGTATAACTGACCCGTATCAGACCCTGGGACAGCAGCTGAAGGTCAAGTAAGTGTATTGCCTTTCACGTGTGGCATGGAGAAGTCAGCCACTGGACACTGACATTGGCTGCGCTTCGAAGGCGTTCTTCTTACTCATGGAGGCAGAGTACGAGCATTATGACCAACTTTGATCGGCAAGTACGGACGAAGTCTGGCATCTATTACTTTCTATGTAGATAAATTACAGATCATCCAACAAGTAACGTTATTGATACCACCTTTCCCTCAATTTTTTCCTCTGCACCATCGGCTTTGTGATTATTATGGCAGCCAGCAAACCGCCAACAGTAAAGACAAGCTGGGCCTTGTTGAAGTTTTCACTCAATACGTCGAATGTCCCAGAGGGCGTGACTCGCGTATGGAAGAGATCGAGACCATAAGCGAAGACCAACGACGTCGATTCGAGCAAGGCTGGAGAGGTGATAACCCTCTGGACATTTGCAACCTACACAGATGAGGTCAGCTACGACTGTTAGCTCGTTTTGGCATCATGCTGTACCTGATAATTATGCGATAAAACGGCACGGGGCTCATATGGAAGGAGCGGGTCATATTGAATCAGCATTTCTTCCATCTCTTCGGAGGTGGGCTTGCGCTTCGGTCTCCGAGGATCGAGTAGACGGCGAGGTATGGATTGGATTTGGTTATTCTGGTATGCAACTGCAGGTACGGGTTAGATCGAAACTTCATCTCAAAGACATAGAGCAATACGCACCTATGATGTCTTTGGTCGTGATGCCGAATTTCGTCGCGGTCGAAGATAAAGCAGTTATGCCATGCGGGAGTAGGAAAGCTTGTTCGTAGGCGGTGATATGCGTGCTCTTCTCCGAATATGAAGAAATATCAGAACTGCCGATTATTCAGCTTCCTCCCATGACGGTATGGAAAGGGTCTCACCTGCGCGTTTTATCATCGGGTTTATTTCCCTCGTAGAACTCCACAGAGACCAGAGTTTGACCTTTGGTCTGGCCAAGCCGGTCGCCCTCGCCGTTGTAATACGTATACACCAGCCAATTCTCGACCAAATTCGCCTTCACATCACAGTCACCGTCCGGTGCGGGAAGCGAGACATGATAGAGGATGCTGCCCTTGACACTATCTACGACGTATATCGAACATTTGGACACCGTTTTCGAAGCAGTCACAACAGCCAGCAGGTTTGGGTTGAGGTATTTATACAAAGTCGTGCGGTTCCCCAGGACTTTCCCCAGGGAGGCCACAGGCTGACTATGAGAAGGTCGAATAATGGAGAGGACGTCTTCTGAAGCAGGGAAATCGGTTGTCCAAATAGGGGAGGCGAAGTAGTGATCGTGGAGCTCGGGGTTCGGGTGGACTTGATGACCTACTAGTCGTCTATTGCCCGGCACGCCTGCTCGAAGAGGGAGGTAGAGTGACTTGGCTACCTTGGTAAAGGCCTCCTGGCTTTCGTCGTTGTCAGGGTAAAGATGAACCTGTGGAAGTCTCCCGTAAATGAATGGACACCGCGAGGAGAAGTATGCTGCGAACCCCTAGGAACTCGTCGATAAGAACGACGACCTTCTTCTCTCCCGGAAGGAAGAACATGTCGACCAGCGGCCCGGAGATGATATCAAGGCCCTGAAGGACCTCACCGGAGGGAGAAGCCCCCCTCGCATCTTCACCCGTCAATGCGTCAATGTGGAACAGCACGGTATCCACAAGGGTCTAGGCGGAATCAGCAACGTATACACCGCGTCAGACGTAAGCTCACATTCTCCGCCCTCCTCTGGGTTACGACGACGACCTGTGGAGTGTCTCCATCCGCCACTGTTCTCGTCACGTAGATCTTCAGTGGGCGTATCACAGCACCGACTTCCGCGGCCCATCCGAGACCGAGGATTCGGCTCCACAATACATCACCTGTGCTAGAATCCAGCCCGTAGATTTTACCAAAGCCAGTCGCAGCGACGATGACTTTGCGGAATCCGAACGTGTCACGGGTCAGGAGACCGCTGGCATTGACCGCAGAGGGCAGCACGGACGAAGTTGTCTCGTACGATCCCGTAAGAAAGCGGTTAACAAAGGCTGCGAGATATCGCGGGAAGTCCTACGGCAGTCTTTGTATATGGCTCACGAGAAGGATGAAAATGACCGTACCTTCGCGTCAATGATATGTCGTACGACTCTCTGCACGAAACTTTCGGCATTGTGTGAATGGACAACTTGCTCTTCCGGCAAGTCCACAAACTCGGCTGCGCTGATACTAGCAAGGGACTCCTCTCTCGTCCACTCCAGCACGTCGCGCTGCCAGAATTGGACGGCGCCCGTCGTCGTGGTCACGAAGAGCCGGGTCAAGACGGTAAAACCACCTGGGTGAGCATTATCTACCGCAACCTATCAAACAAAGTTAAGAGTTATTACGCCGTTCATATGTGGGCAAAGTACGCATACGTGATTGATAATACCGTGCGTGCGGGTATCGAAGGGGAACGCGAAACCGGAGACGAGACCCTTACCATCCGCCAAGTGAGGCGCAAATACGTGGACGCTAGCTTTCTGTCAAAAGGGATCGAGTTGGCATTCAGATGGAGAAAACAGCGATTATGAACTTACTCCGAGAACATGAGACCAGAACACCCGCGAGACGTACGGGTTCCCCTCCTTGTCGAGCCCGCCCGAATAAATAGACGGCGCGTAGCGGCCAGAGTCCGCCTAGACAGACCCTCTTAGTACAGCTACTGTGAAGCAACGCATACGAAGACCTACGGAGTCAGCGAACTCCCATATTGCCTTCACTCCAGGCCCTTCCTCGTCAATCCTGAATACGCGAGCCGAGCCGTCATGCTGTATCGCGACAAATATTCCACGCTCTTCTCCCAGGTTCACGTCGATGACCCGACGGTACCGCGCCTCCTTCGTGCTCGCAGGCTTGTCCTTCAGGTCGGGAGTAAGCAGCATGGATCGGATCGCGCCCCGGTCGAACCATGCGAGGCGGGGCTCTGCACCGGAAACGGAGGTAAGTGGGATGATGTCTGCGGGTCCTTCGGCGATATTCGAAGGCACGTCCACGTCTTCGATAAGCTCACCCGTGCTTGCAGACAGGGAGGTGATATGGAGGGTGTTGGACTGGATAGACTTGGACAGGCCAATGAGGTAGACGGTCGACGACGTCGCGACGAGCTTCGTGTATATAACTTTGGAGCTGAAGCAATGCGGATAAAATAAGTTCATTGGTCACGATTGTATGAGTACACAATATTACGGACGTCTGGTCAGCGGATGTCCATCCCCACTTCATGTCTCCCGTGGAACCATCTATAAGGCGCACACTGTGGCCGTTTGTGAGCACGAAAATATGTGGTCGGGTGTTTTCCGTAGGTTGTAGAGAAAGAGCCGTGCCGAGGTCTATAGGCTCTGAGAGGTGTCCAGATGATGGGGCATGGAGTCGGTTCTCAAGCAGTAGCTGCCCGGTTAGTGCATCGAATATTCGTAAGGTTGCGCCTCCGGGACCTGAGAGAGCAGCAACAGCTACACCAGCATGTCAGATACAACGTGTTTCCCCTCAGCACTAACTTACTGTCTTTCTGCTTCTGGTAAGCTGTTAAAGGATCTGACGCTTCGTATATCTGTCTCCACACTGCCCCTCTACTTTGTAGCTGCACATTAAAGGCAGGCACTGTTAGACATACCGACTGAACCGTCCACGGGATCCAACGCTGCCAGAACATTATTCCCAGTGGCAGTCAGAATCACGCTTCGCGTCGTGTTTACAGTGTCATGGACGCGGTGGAATGCGGGCGACAGCGAGGTGGTATAGGTCAAAGGTACGCCAACCAAACTCTTCTGCCAATCGACCACGCCGGCTTCGGAGGCGTGTAACGCGCTTGTTAGGCCGATAATGGCGAAGACAGCTAGCAAAGACAGTAGCATTATTCGTTAGTTCATGGACGTCGGCCGCAGCGCGTTCAGTCTTAGTAGCGCGACGTGTTCAACGATGAGTACGTGTTGCTCTGAAGTGAGGGCACGTTAGGGAATTATGACGAATGGTAATGTAGTAATTTTAACGTGTACATGTATTATAAGTTTTTTAAATATACAGTACTTTTCCATTATTTCCCGATATAGAAGACAAGGTTTGAGATAATAATCACAAAATGCGACCTCTGTGTCGAACTCTACGACGCCGACCACGACATGACTCTGTCCTGCGCCGTCGCCAGCTCCTCTCGCAGTATAGCTGCAACGTCAAGGTCGCTATGCGGTACATGCCAGCCTGCTAGACCATTGGTCCAAACGCGTCTCGTATCGTCTTCACCGTACGGTCGTACGCACGTCTGGAAACGTCGTCCAAACAAACTGCCCAATCCTATCGTTCCCCAATTTCCGCAGAAAGTAGTACGCTCGGACGGATCAACCTTCATTCACTGGACAACGTCTCCCCGTTCACTTATCCGCCTAACTCGCGATGTTACCAATAATCCTTTATGGTGTGTGGTTTTGAAGCTGTTTCAAGTGATTTTGAGACGAGGCCCTTTTGCACATTAGGAACACGGCTATGATGAGAGCGCAAGGCGCTGAGGAGGAGAGTGAGACCACCGGACGGCTCGGCAGATTCAGCAGGAGATTTGGGGGAGGCGCGCAGGAAGGGGTCGTGGACTGGGAGAATTTCAGCGAGCTGGCAGAGAGCGAGAAGGCTTCCGCAGGTGCGGGCGACCCGAAAGCTAGCAAGTCGTGATGACTTCCAGTGGCTACCACGGATTCCCGGCCGTTCTACATTATATCTGGATCTTCTTGTCAAAGGCATATACCGTCATAATGGTACGCATACGGGACACGCTCAGGGCAATGCAACGTCGGGACTTTTCCTTTCCTTACCGAGTCGATGGAAATGCATGCGCACGCCTCAAAGTTCTCGCATCTCCGTCGGTTTTATCTCAAACGCTATGGTAAGGTGCCATGGATATCCGGGCGACTTCCATATCCCCATAATCGATCGGACCCACAATTCGTTAAGCAAGGCGTCATGCGTGCTTGGCTGCAGCCCTTCCCCGTGATGTCTATATTTGAGTCCCTCCCGTTAATCCGGATGTTTATAGTCGGAATGTCGTTGCCATGACTCTCGTATAGGGCCAGGTGAGAGGATTCCATAACTCTATGATCTGTCAGTACAGGCTCACGTGTCAAAATGCAAGACTACACTACACTTTCATCACGTCCAGAGCCGGAAGGTTGCCAGGTGGCTGAGATGTAAAGATAGCAAGTATGGTGTATTGCCAGAGGGTAACGAGCGGTAACGTACTGAACTAAATAATACATTCATACAGCATTGACAACGCAGGATATCAAATCGGAGACACCTCGTCTGATTTTCCACTTCTTCCCTTCGAGATGTTGATTGCAAGTGCGCCGTCCCGACTCACGAATACTTCCTGGTCTATCACGATATGCTGGTCAAGGTTTCGATTTCGTGATCTCTCGCTACCGGTGGAACGAGGCATTGAGCGCAGCTCGGTCGAATGGCTCGCGAAGCCCGCGCCTTGCAAAGCATTGAGGCATACCCGGATGATCACAAGCATGAATATGCACCCGACCAAAGGGGTCCCCTTCACGAGAAGTGAGTCCTCGCCCTCTTCTTAAGTGCCTATAAGTGTACCTACCAGCTCAGCCATAGTCTCGAGTCCCTCTGTCCCCGCGACCAGCGTGGCCGTATTGGCGATCATGTACGCGGCGTTGAAGGCAGTGCTCTCGATGACTATCTTCACCACGGGCATCCGGTTCGAAGTCGTCGACTTGACGATCTTGGCGAGCTTCCTGCTCTGGTTCCACAAGTAGAACGCGGTGAGGCCTGCGCATCACTTTAGCATTCACCGCTCGCCTCGAGAAGCTGCGATGTAAGATGAGACGTACATGTTGCTATGAAATTAGCCGCGAGACTCAGCGCGGACACGGCGATGAGCCATTTCTCCTGCGATGCTCGTGATTCTCGCTTAAAGTGCTGGAAGGACCATATGATGTGAAATCCCGTGACTGGGAAGAGGTGAGTGATAGAGATCACTGTTTCGGCTAGTCAGGAAACTAACCTCCGCTGCCGAGACACAGGGATATGGGCAGGATTGCCACCCAGATGTTCTTCTCCCAAAGAATCCACAGCCGGTACGTCTGCAGAGTCGTCAGGCTATGCATACTGCACGGGCCGCAACTCAACTTACGACAAACAGATCGGATACCAGCCGCATGAGGATAAGCGTGGTGTGCTTGAGTACAAACACAGGCTGCGAAACGTCGTGTAGGAACGCGATCCGCTCTGCCCTGCTGCGGTCGATGAATGCCAGGAAGATGTTCGTGCAATCCGCGGCAAGCTGCATCGTCGCGAGGATGAACAAGACAAGCGCGACTAGCACGAGGACGCGATTCAGCTTGACATGGCGTCGCCTCACGATCGCGAGGTACGCCGCTACTGTGAACAGGACGACGAAGACACCTGGGCCATAGCGCCGAGTTCAGAAGGGTCGTCATCGCCGCTGGGTCCTGCGCACCATACAAAATCGATTCCACTATCATACCAGCGAGCTCTGCGACATCGATGTTTGTCCCGGAGGCCATGGCGGATGCCTGCTGCGATACAGGAGCCCCGAGACTGTCGGCTGGATATAAAGAGTGGAGGCTGATCTTCTGCTATTGAATCATAACTAGAGCAGGATTATGTTCTCATCCCGACAGTCCAACGGTGTTCGCTTCTGTCAATCCTGGCGAAGCGTGCAAACTGCGATCCCTCCATAAGAGTTACCTGCGAGCCTCATCCGAACTTCCGAAGAGAATAGACACTGCCGTTTGGATCTGCGCAGCAGTCAATCAAGGAGTGTATCAACTTGAGTTGTGCAGTTGACGGGTAAGCAAACGGATTCCATCGGTTTCTTCGCATTGACGGCTATAAATAGGGGACTTCAGCCTTTGATACGATGCAAGAGGCAAGACTGTTGGTGTGGTAAACCCTTTTCCAGAATAAGCTTTCACTCAGAGCTTTGGGGTTGAGTAGACTTCTATTGCCTTCTGCACCTCCGGTACTAGCGGAAGATGTCGATGAACCGTGGGCAAGATCGTCCGTGGCAAGACGTTTCCACTGCGGATGGTAAGACCTGTGGGACGCTATTGGTTGCCGGCGCCGCGTTTTCTTTTTCGAAGCAGCTTTGTGGCTGATGTGTGACGGCACCCAACGCTACGAAGACCGTGGTCTTGCCACAATCCGGGCGTTTGCCGATCTTTCGTAGATGGGGCCGATGACTTTCGCTTTCTCAGCAACCAATCCCGGACGTGTCCCGGTTTGTTATCTCTGATGTTCCTGTGCTCACCATGCCGACCACGGCGGGCTCATAGATCGGTGCAGCGGTAGAGAAAAGCAGACACATCTGCCCCCATATAGTTATAGTATCACCTGCGCCGAGCATATTTTCCACCACCATCTCATTCCAGGAGACAACAAGTAGGACAAACAGCCGGATGCAGTTCAGTCTCAAGCAAGTACGTAGTGAATCTAAGTATCTCATGTCCGATTGAATACTAACTGAACTCATTATTTCGGGCGATATGCCCCAGTGTCGATCGACAGCCAGGCTAATTCGAGACACCTCCACGTTATTATGAGAGTAACGTTACCGAACATGGCCAGCAGTTTGATATCAAGCAGCCACCTTCCATCGCAAGGACTCGGGGATATTGATTACACAACAATGGGGGCATTGACAATTTTTTATGGTCCTACCGAAGTCCATGGGTATCGCAGAATCATCTTATCGTACATACGACAAACCTGTCCCGAGTCAGACAGTATACGATGCGTCGGGCTTCCCCTCTGTCCCTCCCTCCGTATCTTGGACGTAATCGCGAGTAACGAATACTTTCTGGCTGATCACGACGCGCCGACCCGCACCTGACCGCTCATCGCCCGCCTCACCACTCCGCCGCGGCATCGAGTGTAATGCCATTCCTGTCTTCGAATTTGCCGATGTGCCAGTCTGTTCGGAGTTGATGCACACCCGCATGATGACGAGCATGAAGATACATCCCACCAAAGGGGTTCCCTTATGGACTATGGTGAGCGGTTTACGGTATTATGTTTGATTTGGGAGGCAACAAACCAGTTCAGCCATGGTCTCAAGGCCTTCGGTCCCCGCTGCCAAAGTTATCGTATTTGCGAGCATGTATGCCGCATTCAGGGCGCCGCTTTCTACAACTATTTTCACGACCGGCATGAGGCTGGATGTTGTTGCGCCCACGACCTTTGCGGTCTTTCTGGACCTATGCCATATTCTAAATGCCGCGAGGGCTTCACAGATCTAAGCAGGTTTTTATGCGGGATAGGGGATCGTGGCCGAACGGTCGTCATATAAGAGGGAACCTGCACTTACCGGTTGAGACTGCATTCGCAGCGAGGCTTAACGAGGAGATCGAAATGAGCCACTTTTCCTGGGCTGTTCTTGTTTCAGCGTGGAAGTGCTGGAAAGACCATATGGCGTGAAAACCCGTCACTGCCAGTCAAGGTGAGCAAGGACTCAAGGTTGTTGGGAGCCATCGAGACTAACCTGCGCTTCCGAGACACAAGCATATTGGCAAGACAACTATCCAAATGACTTTGTCCCATATTATCCAGCATCGGTACGTCTAGTACGTTGTGAGCATCATCGTCAGATATTGAAGCACGTATGACTTACCACGAATGAATCAGACACAAGAAGCATCAGAATAAGGGTGGTATGCTTCAAGATGAATACCGGCTGGGAAACATCATGAAGGAACTCGATACGTTCCGCCCGGCTGCGGTTAATGAACGCTAGAAATATATTCGCCGTATCTGCCACGAGCTGGATTGTTGCGAGGATGAGCATGATGGCCGCAACGGAGACCAGAATTTTATTGGCTTTGACTCGTTTTCTCCGCATGTATGTCAGGTACATGGCTTCTAGGAAGAGAATGAGGAAGACACCTAAACAACGAAGGTGAGGAACATCGAGGTATACCCTTGCGTGCGTCACTCACCATAGAGGACGGCTTCCACTATAAGACCCGCAAGCTCTGCCACGTCTACATTAATTGCGGAGGCCATGCAAATAATTTCGTCAGTCGCTGGGGTGATGGGGGGCTTCGAGCAATGGCTTTATAAAGCGGGGGTAATGCGTGCACATACATATTTTCTACCCCCTGCGCGCACATGCGTCACAGCCCATCTGGCTTACCTGTCGAGTGTCATCCGAAGCTGCCCGTACAGGTGCGCGTCGCATCATGATCTGCTCATCAGTCGCGGGTGCGATACTGATACATTATATGTATATGATACAGTCCCGGACAAGCAAAGGCAACAAATTGATTTCTGACCGAACGAGATTTTTTGGCGGGAAACTGAGTTCAGATTCGGACTCAGGGAGGCTGGAAACATCCAAAAATGAAGTCCACTGATTTTTCCCACGACTTTTTGATACGGCCAAAATTTTGGGCCATTTGAATGAGATTCTATACCGTCATCGACCTCCCAGATTACATCCTGAGCCTTTGGGGACCTGTAAACCCTTGCATGGAGTTGCATCCAGGCTTTTGAAGACTACAGACCCCCTTCTGAGGCCCAAAGAAGTTCAAATTGCCTTGATTGCCATATTTGGCCTGCACTTATGAGAGCTATTATGGCATATCGGCTGATCCGATTATTAGATTTAAGCCGGAATCAGACTCAGCTCATTGAAAGGAGTCGATTGGCATATTTTCCGCATTTTTCCCGATTTGTTTTGTATACGGCCAAAATTCCCACCCATCCCGACCCATTATTGACTGCTACAGGGGGTTTATGGGAAATTGGCTCGTGCCAATCTCTTCCTTAGAGTCTAAATCACTCATTTCTGCAATAAAACCGGGGTTCCCATGGCTTCTGGACCTTCGGAATTCCGGTCACCCAATTTGTTGTCTTTGCTTGTCCGGGACTGTAGACCCCCTCTCACGATCAACCGGAAGTAGTACTCAAGAAGTATGCAGGGTAAATTGGGCAAATATCCCACGCATCTCCGGATGTTGTCTTTGTGGAAGGCGGACTGCCTCCCGCCTATGTGCCATCCAATCAGAGAGGGTTCCTCTGATCATGACGGCTCCATTATTGTGATCCCCGGGGACAAGCGAACTCCGACTATGGGTGCTGAGGTGTTCACAGTGATGACGATGATGTATCACTAGACATCTGACGATGGAATCAGTGTGGCATGTCCTCTGAATTGAAGAGCCGCGTTATAAGGCCCCACTACGGTCGGTAGGGTACTCTCGACAAAAAGACTTGTCACACCGAAGGTTAGAGACCGATGGCTGTTGGCAGCCTGAGCCTTCTATACTTCCGGATCGACAAACATCTGCTTCCGAGCTATTGGGGGAGCACATGCAGTAGCATGTAGCGGCGGTTGGAAATGTAGTTATATGGCTCCGTCCTTGAACATGACGAAAGGGATATGGACCTGATAGAAGCAAGATACCGCAAATGAGTCCCCCCGGCTTCTCTAGCGCCACAGGCCTAGGCGGTATAGCTGAGGACTCGGATGCAATCAGTGCATGAAAGAAATCAAGGGCAGTAATCAAGAGTCCACCCGGTTTCCACTAGAGAGCCCGCCGTAGCAAGAACATTGCATGCAGATTCAGAATATCCGCCAACAACTTGAACGAGGTTAGTGTTCGCCGCATCCGAGTCTTGCACCCAAAGGTCTCTGAATCTGAATCTGCTTTCGGTCCGTGTTCATGTTATGTAGGTGAGGATAGCCCTCATGATCCTCGTCCCAAACGTCACGCGGGCTAGGTGTAAGCACGGATAATAAGGCTAACATTATAGACTTAGACTCAAGTGCGGTCTTTTCTGGTGGGATATGGCTCACCGTGGGCCGAGCAGATCCCGTGTTTGACTCAATGCAAGGCAGTAAAGTCCGAGCCCGACGCCCGCGTACCCTCAATGCTAAGTATGATTGCGGTATCCTGAGCGCTCCGGCGCGATCAGGCATACGTGTACCTCCCTGAGAAACGCCTATATATACGCCGATGACCATTCAATGGCATCAACGAACCTATTAACCATGTCGCCAGAAATCCCAGCAGTGAAATTGGAGCTCGACCCTTCGCTCTATGCCCCAACCGACGAGGAACGAGCGTTCTACAAGTCGCAAACGGGCATAGCAAGCGATGAGGAGCTGAGAGAACATATTATTGCGGTGCAGCAACAAGCGTATAAGGCCCGTGCTCGGACTCCCATTGTTAACGAAACAGATAATCATCGGATGTAACAGGTGTACCCGTACCCGTGTATCTGGGCCTTCACCTTCACCAAGTGCGTGGATCTTCGAAAGTCGTACTATGTGTGCCACTGACGGCACCGTAGACTGATTATATCCCTTCTACCCGCCTATCCGCGTGCCTTGGCCCTTGGGAAAGAACGCAAGGGCGCTATCTTCTTGGACCTGGCTTGCTGCTGTAAGTAGCCAAGATATATCTCGGCCAGAGGTAAAAAGAACACACTCATACTGACGATCCCATCATAAGTCGGGAATGACATCCGCAAGGCTGTTGCAGACGGCTTCCCGGCCAAACAAGCTATTGCGTCCGATTATCGAGGAGGTAATAGCATTTTCTGGATTACGACGTGATACTGACGCACCTGCAGACTTCTGGCAGCTCGGCCATGAGCTGTTCAAGTCCACGCTAGAGAGCTTCCCGGTGGCGTTCGTTGCTGGAGACGCTTTCGATGATCACTTCATCAGCCCCGCGCCAGTTGTTTACGCGAAACCGACGACCCCAGTCCCTATGTTGCCATCGTTAACATCGCTAGCGCCGCTGCATGGCCAAGTCGCAGCAATACATATGTCCTCATTCTTTCATCTCTTCACCGAGGAAAAGCAAAGAGAGCTTGCTAAGCGCGTCGGAGCCCTCTTATCACCGGAGCCCGGCTCCATCATCTTCGGTGCCCACATTGGCGGCAAGGAGAAAGGGGACCTGGTGAACAGCCAGTCTTATAGAGTTGTGCTCCACGAAGCGAATATGTTCGGTCATTCGCCGGAGAGCTGGGAGGCACTTTGGGACGGTGATGTCTTTAAGAAGGGTTCCGTGAAGGTGGAAGCCAGTTTGTCGAAGGCTAGCTTAGGGAAGTGGAATGCGGACATGCTGGTGTGGTCCGTGACCCGACTATGAAGGAGACTTACCGCAGAGAAGTGGAGTTACGGAGTTGCTTCCCAGTTCTTCCACTTTTTGTATCCTCATTCAACATGAGGTTCTAGCCCTAGCGCCAGATACATATTTGTCCTTTCGTTGGTATAGCCAGGGGAGCGTAAAAAGAGTCGCCAGATGATAGGCAGTCAAGCCGAAATTATATGCCCCCGAGGAATGGTCTTCGAGTAGGTTGTGATGGCTGCATACCTATATATATCTACTTGTCCACCTACAATGTTACAAGGTGGATCCAGCACTCCTGCTCACCATGTCATCACAAGGGCTGTGCGCATTGTGCTTTTAACCTACGCGTCTAGCCGTATCTGATGCCATCCTTTTTGAAAGGTTGCAATTGAAACCTATGAGTTCAGCATTATAAGACAGAACTTCAGGACAACGAGAGGGTTAGCTGAGATATTTCCGAATTATTATGTGTAGCTGGTAATTACCTAATACAGTATCTGCTTTATCGACTGAAATGAACGATTCATTCCGTCATTGCGATCATTTCCCTCTCACGTCGCGGACGACGACGGGGAAGGTGTTGCACCTATAATACATTCGTATAATGCGAATACGAGTGGTGAGTCCGGCGTCAGCCAGTTGTATCTACAAACTAATGGTCGACTTGATCAGCCGCGGCACGCGCTGGCTGCCTCCGTAGGAGCCCTGGCCGTCTCTCACGAGAGCTCGAAAGAAAAGGTATGTTACAATGGAAAGCTTCTATAGTCGACTCTGGTTGATAGTAATTCTGGGACACTTCAGCTTCCTATATATCCCCAGCCGGAACCCCCTATCATCGTTCTTGACGAACCTTCAGAACTCGAGAGGCAAATCGGGTCCGTTCGGAGGCAGGTTGTCGGCGCGTATTCGAATGCACACGCCAAAGTGCAGGGCGCTGTGTCGCGCTGGATCGGTGTCGAGCATGCCGTAGAAAGTGCGCAGTGCACAATTCTTGCCACAAATATTACTGAATGAAATACAGGTCGCGTAAAGTCTCTAATTGATCCCTCGGAAGAAATCACCCCGGGCCTGCTCTACACGACTATTGCGACCCTCTCCACCTCTATCGTCACGCGCTCGCGATCCCTCCCCGTTCGTTTCGTCCTCCCCCCGACCGCTTTCCTCGTCTCCCTCTCGTACTTCCTCCCCAAGACCTCCGCCAATGTCTCCGCGTACACCACCGAGCTCGAGGAGCGGTACTTCCCCACGCTCGCAGAGAAGCATGCCATCGCGCGCGCACACTCCGGCATGCTCGTGGAGAGGATTAAGGACGGGTACCAGTCGGGAAGGGAGCAGATGGGCGCGGGGCTCGGAAAGGGTGTGGACTGGGCGCAGGGCGTGACAGGCTTGAAGATTCGCGAGGCGCTTGGGTGGAGTGAGGACGTACTGGAGGGGGCGGAGGCGCGTGCGCGCAGTGTCACCAGCGAGGTGGGAAAGCTGCTTGAACACGACAAAGAGAACCTCAAGGGCTTTGCCAAGGAGGTCGCGGATGAGGCCAAGGCGCGCGTTGAGGTGGGCAGGGAGAAGTTGGAGCAAATGACGGAGACGGACAAAGGCCTTCTCAGCCGCTGGGGGCGGAGCGCCCCTTCCTCCTCCGACCCGGTCGTAAAGAGCAGAGAGTTCGTTGGGGAGGTGGTCGATGGGACTATTGACCGTGCCCAGGCTACCGCCTCCGAGGTTTCGAAGATGGTGGAGACCGACAAGGCTCTTGTCCGTGATCTAGGCAAGTCTTCGTCTTCGACCCAAAGGAACCCAGTAGAGAAGGCGCATGACTTTGTCGGCGACGTCGTCGAAGGGACAGTCGAACGAGCGCGTGCAACTGCCGCTGAGGTCTCGAAGATGGCGGAGACGGACAGGAAGCTGGCGGGTGAGGCGAAGGAGTGGGTCGGCGATGTCGTGAAGGAGACGGAGGCGCGGTCGAAGGCTGCGAGCGATGAGCTGGGCAAGATGCTAGAGAAGGACAAGGAGCTCGCAGCCAAGGAGGAGGAGGAGGGGAAGAAGGAGGTCAAAAGACTTGTCTGATAAGGTATAGATATTGGACAAGGACATTTTCTCTCGATCCGCTGTGTATGCCCGTCCAGTCCGTGTTTGGGAGAAGAAGTGTTGCGGATCAAGGTATGTTTACTTCCACACTGTCATCAGACGTGTACGACAGGAGTGCGGGGTCCGATGTCGGCTTCTACAAGTGTTTCTACTGTTGCTCATCCGGACTTGAGTGTCATTCGGCTGGATTTTTGGTAACTCCTTTGCTGAGCGCTGAGGCCGCATCACCAGCAATGGGGCATATTTGCGTCCCTCGGGCCGCCGATATGGGATTTTCGTTCGCAATTCTAAAGATGTGTTCAATAGGACACTGGACTAGTCAACACACAGCTTCTACTCAGCCCATGGTGAGCTGTATCCCCTCGTAGAAACCCATGGCATGAGGGAACCTTGATTTGTGATCACAAAGGTCTGAAATCCCAATATTCGGTATTAAATTTCGACCGGTGCTTTCATCCGGTAAACGTACATTTTTCATTTGTTTGATGAACGAAATTCATCCGTTTTATGACCAAACATACCGGTCAAATTTAAGCCGGTCTCGCGCGCCCAGAGTGAATGCCCTTGCCACAAGTTATCGATGGCAGTCGCAAATATCATACAATCCACTACACCGTCAAGAAGACATACAAGCTAGACGACGACACCGTCCTCCGCCTTATCCCGGTGTATAATGATCTTGCGCTTTTCCAGTGATGCCTTCTTCGGATGCCGATGTTGGAATATTTCGTCGATCTCTTCCAAGTTCCGTCCCTTCGTCTCCACAAATGTGAAGTAAACTGCAGCAGCCCCCAAGAGGTCCCATAATGTATAGAATATATAAAAGCGCCAGCCTGCGTTCGCGATAGCGGGTGGCGGCACATATGTGTTAAATATGTTCGCGACGTTGACCAGGAGATTGAGGAATGCCAGCCCCTTCGCGCGTGTGGAGAATGCCAGCACCTCGGTCGGGTACAGCGCCATGGCGGGTATCCAGGTAAACGCATACACGACGAGGCAGACAAAGAGGAAGGCGATCCCGACTACACCGATGACGGGGTTCGAGGCTTGCTGGGCCGTGCATGCGGTCATTATGGCGACGGAGATGGACATACCGAGGCTGCCTGGGAAGAGGAGCTTCCGCCGCCCGGAGCGATCTATCCAGCGTAGGCCCGAGAGGGCTGAGGCCATCATGATGGGGGTCTGTATCGCGTTCAGCAGGAGCTGGGTGCGAGTATTTGTGATTCCCGCAGTTTTCGCTAAGGGGAACAGTTAGACATAGGGGTTACTTGGAAAGGGCCCAAGCAGCTTACCCATGAGGGGTAGATAGTAGCTTGTCGGGGGAAGGATGAGTTGTCCGAAAAACGCGATACAGACGATCAGGAAGGTCCGGTACCGCGCGGAATGGGAGTTGAACAACTCTCTGAAGTCCCACCACCGCTTATCGGAGCCTTCCACTGAGATGTAATGGATCATGTCCTCGAGTTCGAGAGCCACGACGGGAGAATCGGGATCGCCGTCGCCATGATACTTGACTAGAATCTCCCTCGCTTTCTCAATCTTTCCCTGGCCAATATACCTTGCTACAACGGTCAGTACGTCAAGAACGAATTTGCAACATGCAGGACAAACCATCGCGGGGTTTCCGGTATGAACCACGCAAACACGAATATCAGCAGCGGCGGCAATCCTTGGATGGCAAGAGGCAGCCTCCACGTCCACTCGGGCGTGTTCCGGACGTAGTCAAGCCCATATATGAGCCACGTCGACGTGATCGTGCCGAGGAAGAAGCAAGCCTGGTATGCGCCGGTGAGCACACCACGATACTTCGGGTACGCCATCTCCACGACATAAGGCGGGCCTGCGGTCATCACCAACACGGCGCCCATGCCGAGTATGAACCGGCCGCCCATCAGCATGTGCAGGGTCTTGGCGGAAGCTTGCACGATGCTGCCTATTATGCAGACCACGGAGCCGAAGATCATCCCTGCACGTCGCCCGTAGGTGTCGGCACAGGGGCCTGCGATGAAGCACCCTGCGACGTTGCCAACGACGTAGAGAGCGGCGACAAGCCCTTGGTTGTTAGAGTTGATGCCGAAGTAGTTCGTGAAGGTGTCCATGGCGAAGAGGCCACCTGCGATGACAGCCTATCAGACTGAATATTGCGCCGAATATTCTTGGTCTCACCGTAAGTATTCGCATCGTATCCGTTCGTCGCCGAACATAAGAACGCGACGAATATGACCGCGTAGAGCTTCAGAAAGCTTCTCCTGAGGGGATTCGGATTCTCCTGCAGCAAAGCCCTCGCAAGCCGAGAGTCCTGGACCAAAGCTTCTTCCGTACCGCCAGCGGAAGACTCCGGTAAGGACTCAATGACCTGTATGGCGTCCGAGTCCTTTGACTTGGAGAAGCTCATGACCACGAAATGAAGGCTGCGTTGAGCAGGAGCTCACCCCCGGACTGGCTGATTGTCTATCATCTTATATCCCAAGATGAAGGTGAGTACACGGGGCCTGAGGTGACGAGAAGGACTCAAAAATAGCACGGAGCCCTGGCGTGTGATCATCACGGGTTGTGCGGTAGATTTTGAGGAGGTCCGTCGGGCTGCTGGATGCACTCCAATTGTCCGATGTATGTCCACGACTAAAAGAACGGATGGCGTACTCTTGATACTCTTGACTAGGACATTTCGCGTATTGGATATGTCCAGGGAAAAGGATCGTCAGGCCTTGTGACCTACGGAGCGCTGATAGACTGCCCAAAATGTCAGAGGAATTGGGCAACTTCAGACTTCCTTGCATCTGTCGAGACATGTTAGTCCAGCACACCAAAGCGAAAGGAAGCCTACCACATAGACTCACGTTAATAGTCTACAGTTTAGTTAGTGGCGATCAGTACGTGCGGGATGAAACCCGTACGTTTAAGTTGTACTGGCACCATGGCTAACGAGACTGAGTTCAGCACTTCCACCTGCTCATCTTGTCAGCACATCGTGTCCAATGTTCCAGGCAATCGATGCCCGATTTCCCTGCATGGTTTTCCAAGGAACTATCGACGTCGTGATATACGAACAAACCGTAAGTAGCAATCACTGGCAACAGCCACTTATCACAAGCAACCGTAAGCCAAGGCCAGTTATCATCTTGACGTTCTGTCTCGAGTATCAGTAGGTATCAGTACCTGAACGATGTCCGACAACTATTGCGATGTCCGGGTAGGAAGGTGCATGTGGGAAGGCACGGAGTAAAGCAACAATCATCCGGATATTGGCTATTACAGTGTCCGCTGTGGCGGTATACCATATGTGGAAGGTAGTAAGCCTTATCGGGAATGCGGAGGTTGGAACTAGAGGGCGTTGAGACTGGACAAGAGTCTAATGGAGGACCAACTCTGTCACCTCCCGATCGCAATCACGTCTTCTCTGAACGCGATCGAGCCAAGCCAAGTTGAACATGGATGGAGATATGCTGTTCTGATATTCCTCGCGTCGGTCGCCTTATAACCGGCGTATACTGGGCCGTTTCCCCCAGACGTGCGGTCTAGCTCTAGTGCCACACTCACTACGGTCTTTACCTACCTGCGCCAGAGGGTGCATTCCATTCTTTTGGCGGAATGAAGCTTCCCTTACTTTCTTTGGCTCTTACAGCCGTCAGCGTAGGTGCTACGGTACCTTTGTCTAGCGTTCAAAGGACTACTACTTCACCGAACAATGCTTTGGCGGGGGAATATATTGTAGAGATGAATAATGTGCAGGGATTGGGAGGCAAGAGAGCTTACGCTTCAGTACGTATATTAGCCGTAGAATGTAGAACAAACTGAGCTAACTTCTGCCAAGACACATGACACCCTATACCGATCCCTTCGCAAGAGGGGTATCTCTTTCGATGTGAAGAAAGAGTATAATCAACCCGGTATCATGGTCGGGGCTGCCCTGAAAGTCGCAGTAAGACCAGTTCCCCATCTCTTTGACCGGAGGTCTACTGACCCTGCTTACGATAATTCAGTCTCCTCAGGTATGGGGGAATGTGCTGCGTGATAGTTAAATATTTATGATTGCTGGCAGGATGTGCAACAAATAGCGACCATGGCAGAGGTCAAGGCCATCCGACCGGTTATTGCTGTGCCAGCCCCCGAGTATGCCCCCATTCTATCGGCATTTTTTGAGACCGAATAACAAAGTTGTGCTGGATAGGCGTATCAATCAATTCACGGTATCCTCGCCGAATGATTCGCGCATCACTGCCGACTCCGAGACCACCCACATTATGACTGTAAGTCACACTGATATTCGTCTTTTGAGAATAAGATCTCAATAGTCGCGCTCAATCTCAATACAATAGGGTGTAGACAAAGTGCATGCTGCAGGGATCACCGGCGAAGGAATCAAGATCGGGATGTACGTATTGCATTTCTCTCGCTTTCCATACATTGCCTAAAAGTGTCGTCCAGCATCGACACTGGTGTGTGTCTCTGTTGTCCGCACCCCACGCCTGACCTACTGAAATGGGTAAAGGTATCGATTACAACCATCCTCTGCTGGGTGCGGGCTTTGGCCCGGGCTTCAAGGTAATTGGAGGGTACGATTTCGTGGGTGATGATTATACCGGTGAGTTGAAACTCGTCCTCTTAGAGCTTTGAGTTTATTGGGGCATGTAGGGTCCAACAACCCTGCTCCTGATGATGACCCTCTTGACAAGTAAGTATGGTTCACGAAGGCCTGTCCGGACTGGCGTGCTGACACACCGTAATTCTCTAGCTGCAACGGTCCGTTTTTTTTGGTCTTTTTGTGGTCTTCCGTATGTAACGGAACTATACGTTTTTGTTGTCCAGGGCATGGAACTCACGTAGCAGTACGCGCGTGAACTCACGTTGGTTGTAACTTGTCGAGACTGATAACGCTCCAGGGCATCATCGGCGCCAACCCAGGAAACGACTTCGGTATCAGCGGCGTCGCATACGGCTCTTCCATCGCATCCTACAGGGTGTTTGGCTGCAGCGGCTTCGTTAGCGACGACAGTGTGTGCTCCTCCCACCTTTCCCTCCCCGGCTCTCATTACCTCACTTGCAGTTATCATTGACGCTCTCCTGCGTGGCTATAGTGACGGTATGGACATCCTGACCCTTTCCCTGGGTGGCGTCGAGGGCTGGACCGAGTCCTCCTCCTCCGTCGTCGCGAGCAGGATCGCAGACCAGGGAAGGGTGGTTACCATCGCTGCTGGAAACGACGGTGCGTATGGGAGCTGGTACGCTTCCAGCCCTGGGACTGGGGTGGATGTCATCTCCGTGGCTAGTGTCAACAAGTGCGTGTTTGACGTTTTTTGGAGAATGGTGAGCCCAATATTGACATGAATTTATTGTAGCATCGCGATTCCAGTGCAGAACGCGACTGTGCAAGGCGTTGAGCATGCGCCTATTGTGAGTCTCACCGCTTTTATTAGAATTGAGTATTCCTAAATCGTCACTGCCATAGCCCTACCTGGAGGCACTGCCGCTCAACGTTACTGGAAGCCGTCCGATCTACGCTACCTCGACGGACACCACTGTCGCTGACGATGCATGCAACGCTCTTCCCAACGACACGCCTGACCTGAGCGGCTATGTCGTTGTTATCAAGCGCGGAACCTGCACTTTCGTAAGTTCAGCCAGGTAGCGTGAGTGTAGTATTGTGCTCCGGTTCTGATGTCCTGGCGTCGCATAGGTGACTAAGCTGCAGAACGCAGCTGCTAAGGGCGCCAATACGTTCTTGATCTATAAGTAAGCTTCCTCAATCACCACAATTCGCACAGACGGGTTGAGCAGCGTGCTATAGCAACGGCGGAAGCTTTTCAGCTATTTCGGTCGGGGATTATACCGCTGCACTCATCTCGGAGACAGATGGCACTTTCGTGCGTATCTCAACATCATCCTCGAGGACTTGACTTATCTCATGACTCCAGCTTGTCAACCAATTCGCTGCTAAGGCCAACATCACTATCTCCTTCCCTCAGTCGGGATCAGCATGGAACTACCCCGATGACGTATCTGGAGGATTGGTTTCGGACTTCTCGAGCTACGGGTTTGTGCAATAGCCACATCTCCCGTTCAGTCCTCGCTAATCAAGCTTCGAAGGCCTTCGTACGACATGTACTTCAAGCCTGCTGTAGCGGCGCCGGGAGGTAACATTCTCTCCACCCTGCCCATCGCGCTCGGCTCCTACGGCGTCGAATCGGGTACCTCGATGGCTACGCCCTTCACTGCGGGCAGCGCCGCGCTTATTCTCCAAGCGAAAGGCAAATCTGTTGCTAAGTCCATTCGGAACCTGTTCCAGACCACCGCGTCGGCCGTCGCATCGAGCAAGACAGATGGCGATCCGCTTCAGACGGTCTCCCAGCAGGGCGCTGGGCTGATCCAGGTGGACAGGGCAATCGGCACGACCACTGTCGTATCCCCAGGACAGCTGACGTTGAATGATACAGCACACTTTGAGGGCTTGTGAGTGCCTTTATGGTGATTGAGATGACTTCGCGGCTGATATTGCTGCGGTAGTAAAACCTTCAATATCCAGAATACGGGATCTAAGGCTGTGACATACAAGATCTCGCATGTCCCGGCTGGAACAGCGGCTTCTGTACAATCTGTGGGACCATGGACTTCATTTACGAGGATGAGTGCTGACTATCGTCGTTACAGGGAAGCATATTCGCCGCGGACGGTCCTGTCCCGCTCACCGCTGACTATGCACAGGTTACCTTCAGCTTGAACAAAGTGACCGTACTGCCCGGCGTCAGTGTCCCAATCCTCGTGTGGTTCAAGCCCCCGCAGGGAGTCGACGCCTCCACGTACCCTGTGTATTCAGGTTTCATCGAGATCGCCGGCCTTGGTGAGACGTTGCGGGTGGCGTATCTCGGTGTGGCCGCATCTCTTAAGGACAAAGCCGTCGTCGACAACACCGATGAGTATTTCGGAGTAAAGATACCTGCGCTTTTGGATGCCTCGGGTGATGTTCAGGGAAATAGCACCAATTATACTTTGGTGGGAGATGACGTTCCGTCCCTTCTGTATAGGTCCGCGTCCTGTTTTATTCATGTCTCTGTCTCACTGACATCGATGATTGCAGGTTTGCTTTCGGGTCCGCACATGTACGAGTCGACCTAGTCGAGAAGGCCTCGACGGTGTCGGCTACTTTGAGCAAGCGCAACTGGTGGAACTGGTGGTGGCCGCAGAAGCCATCCAACTCCTATGACAAAGTACCTATTGTGGGCACACTCGCCGAATACGACTACGTCCCGCGAAATTCGGATGCATCTGTGAGTTTGATTGCCGTGCGTGCATTCCTAGTCTGAAGTGATTCGTTCGTTTTCCCTGTTTAGACTATCGATGACAATGGCTACAACGTCTTTCAGTTCACTGACTCTTTCGTGAATGGTACCAAGATAGCCGCAGGAGAGTATAAGGTCCTGCTGAGGGCTTTGAAGGTGACTGGGAACCCTGCTGAGGAGGGCGACTATGAGACTTGGTTGAGCCCTTCTTTCAGTGTAGTTCCTGCGTAACGTACTTGTTCTTGTCACACAATCCATCTGCGCCTCTTAAGGACCTCCATTACGAGTCAGGAATCCAGACTCGAAAAAAGCCTGTCTCTCCTCTTTGGTTTAACTGTCCCTGACCTATGGTACCCTATAATCGTAAGTCGGTGAGACTCAACTTGTTTCCCCTTGGTGTACAGGTAATATAGTGTATCGAGGCAGTATTCTCCATCACTCTGAAGGAGTTCATGAATATTGGGTAGAAGTAATGCCACACGGCGCGTGCGGTACTTACCACGATATTTCCGCAGAAGGGGATCTTTCAACAAAACATCCGTAGCCGAAGCATTCAGCATAAGGAATACATTCACTCCACAATCCCACCAATCACCGGCTTTACGACCCTTGACTTGCTCTTCCGAGTCTCTTGTAGGCCCTGCCTCCAGGATCTGTATGACACCATCCACCACTGGCATCACCGACGTTGCGAACTTGGGATTCTCGCCCTCGACGAACTGGACGTCGTAGATGCCTATGCGCAACCAGGAAGTGAGAATGAGATGCTGTTTTCCCAGGAAGGCGTGCCAGATCCGCTGCGGCATGTCATCGAACGCCATGTCATGCAACAGGGCCCCGATAGCTTCCGGTGTGAAGCGGTTGACAACGGCGCGGATGGATTCTGCGACTTGCGAGAGGTTCTCTATCGAGGATGCGTCTCGTCCGAGTGCGGTTGCGCTACCTAGGATCAGAGGTGAGCCGACGAAGTTGTCGGGGACGAGGCGGCCCCGCATGCCGAGGGTGTTGATGAGGTATACGGGATGTTCGGAGGAGGAGAGGCCGCGTGCTCTGTTAATGAGGACCCAGAGCAATGCGATAAGTGTATCTAAGTGGCTGAGCCGCATGCTCGAAGATTGGGAGGTCGCCTCCAGCCAGATGCGATGGACCTCGTCGGCAGTGAAGTGCAGAATCGTCTGCCCTACCAGGGCAGTGGGATCCCATTCCCGCCAGGGCGCAGGGGTGCCAAGCGGCATGATCGTCTGCGCGTCGAGTTCCTCCGGTACGCGGGTGGCGCTCGCCATGTAAGCGGGACACCCGTCTGCAGATGCCCAGTAATCGTATCGGCGCATAGGAAGTTCTAGGGACGCTTTCAGGAGGGTGCCGTCAGGCCGCTCGTCGTCGATGTCCCCTGCGGCAGCTCTGTCCAACAGGGCGGGATTGAATAGAGGTGAGACCGCGATGGGCAGTCGTCGGTGAATACGGGACCAGTTATGCATGAACTGACCAAGCGTGTGCGCGTCGGCAATGCCGTGTGCGAGCTGCACTCCGACGGCGAGTGCGTCTGGAAAGGTCGTTAGTTGCACGTACATGGCAGGTTGTCCCGTTACGCTTGGGGGCAAGGGAACAGTCGGGATAAACGCCTCCACCGGCAGCTGACTCGCGTCCCATACGTCCTGCCATCCCGGGGCGGGAAGTATGGAGGACAGAGCTTGTTCTGACTTGGCGACAATAGCCTCAACACCGGGATCGGTAGGGAACCCATATTTCACTTGCAGGCGGCGGAAGCGGCGAGCATGGTCCCGTGAATCGACGTCCTCTACGAACCCTAGCTCTCCGCTAAAATGCGGATAGAGCTTGAGTGTCTCTCGGAGGGACAAGATGAGTCGTTTCAGAGACAGCTCCTCGTGAGGCCTGTAGACCCAGATTGCTGCCGTGCGGGCGTGGTTAGCCACTGTGGCATCTAAGATGGAGAGATAGGTTGTGGTCGGATTTTGTGCCGAACCCAAGTTGGCAAAGACGCGGCTGCGCGATACTGTGCGTACTCCTAGTTTCTGGGTTTCTGAGTCGACATCCGCCATAGCGAAGACGAGATCTCACGGGTACCACTGCCAGTGGACGTTAAATCAGAACGCTAGGGGTTACCACATGACTGCAACAACTCACCTATCCGTTAGTGCGGCTAGAAAGAACCTTGTTAGCTGGGGAACTTCTTCGTCCCTGCGTGCCTTTTTATACTCGCAGCGCTGCTCGAACAGCCGTTAAACTGTGATATTGTGTATGACCTTGAGCTTCCGTGTGACTCCAGCGGGTCATGCTCCGTGACCGACCGATTTGTGTCTGTCATTTAGGTGTCCTCCCATAGGTCCAGTGCGCATCCTGACCATGATATAAGGCTCGTGAAAGAGGAAGTCTTGATTTGGTTTGTGACCGTGTGAATTCTATACTGTAGTCGACTATAGCCACTTTGTAATGATTGCTTCTTGACTTCACCTCTTCTGAACTGCTTTCTCCATTCTGCAGGATGGTCCGTTTCGATCCCGACAAATGGCTCGCACAACTTATGGAGTGCCAATACCTCCCAGAACCAGAGATGAAGCTGCTCTGCGACCGTGTGCGCACGATACTCATCGAAGAGTCGAACATCCAGCCCGTCTCAAGTCCGGTGACGATATGCGGCGACATCCACGGGCAGTTCTGGGACCTGCTCGAGCTCCTCAGGAAAGGCGGAAAGCCACCGGATACGAGCTACATCTTCATGGCATGTCTGATCTTTACCCCGCTGGAAGAGAGGGGAGTGCTCAAGGACGTTTAGTAGGGCGACTTTGTGGACCGAGGACATTACAGTCTGGAGACGGTCTCGTTACTGCTGGTCATGAAGGCCAGGTCCGCTGCAATCTGATGCTACACTGTTGGTCGTCGCGCTCATGTCCGCCCAGATACCCCGACAAGGTTTCGTTACTGCGAGGGAACCACGAAAGCAGGCAGATAACGCAAGTGTACGGCTTCTACGGTACGCGTGGCACTGGAAGTCTGTCCTGTTTATTGAAGCTTAGTGTACCGTGTAGACGAATGCCAACAGAAGTATGGAAGCGCGACGGTATGGAAGGCATGTTGTAACGTTTTCGACTACCTGAATCTCGCGGCCGTATGCCATGCTTCCCTACTTTCCTTCATGCTGCGATTAATCGGCAAAATCTCTCAGATCATAGACGGCACGACCCTCTGCGTACACGGGGGCCTTTCACCAGATATCCGGACGCTGGACCAGATCCGCGTTCTGTCGCGAGCGCAGGAAATCCCACACGAGGGCGCGTTCTGCGGTAAGTATCGCGTAGCCTAGGCACGTACTTCTTAGAACTGAACGGTCTCACAAAGACCTCATGTGGTCCGACCCGGAGGATATCGCCAACTGGGCCGTAAGCCCGCGTGGTGCGGGCTGGCTCTTCGGCGCCAGCGTCACTCGCGAGGTTTGTGTCTTATTGCCGCCTCCGCCATTTTCGATGAACAACTTCTGCGGTAGTTCAACCACGTCAACTCACTCACCCTCATCGCGCGCGCGCATCAGCTCGTGCAGGAGGGGTACAAGTACATGTTCGACGGACAACTCGTGACCGTGTGGTCAGCCCCGAACTATTGCTACCGTTGCGGAAACATGGCGTCGATACTGACGGTGCGCGAGGACGGAGAGAAAGAGTTTACTGTGTTTGGCGCAGCGGAGGAGAACGAGCGGGATAAGGGCCAGGCAACGCGGAGGATGGTGAGTGCTTGCTTTGTATTCCTAGAAGTGTGGGAGGCTGATGTACGTGGTAGGGTGCGATGCCGTATTTTGTGTAAGTCATAATAATGTGTGTAATCTCCTGTGTGTGCTCTGTATGGATTCCTTGTGTTATTCTTTTACTCGTGCCATGTTACCAGTTACATTTATAGATGGAGCGTAAGTTCAGGTCCTTATGCAGTGTTATCGGTGACACGCCGTCAATTGTTGTTCTGTGGGCATTGCCTCTTTCTTACTGAGGGGGACAGATGCCTCTCGAGCGTCATCTTCCGCGTCATCCTGCTCGTCGATACACTCGCCCTCATCCCAGTCCAATTTTTGAACACTTGCCAAGCCCTGTAAATCCTTCTTTCCAGGTTATACCCATTGCAGATCTTCAGGAGCTTGAGCTTGGAGCCCTCCCGCTCCCTGGACAATAATGCTTCAGCCAGCCGATTCATCAAGTCATTCTTGGAAGGGGATCGGGAATTTGCCACAAATCTGGGGTCATGTAGTGACTAGTCTGAGGTACTCCAGACAAGGGAATAAGGTGGCGTAAACTGAAGTGTGGTCTGTCACACCATCCTCAGCCACAAAAGCGGGTGTGCTGGACTGAGTACTGAGTGGAAATAGTCCAGGACAGAGTAATGATGGATCAGAATATATTGCACACATTTAAGCAGAGTGAGAGTATAATACTACAAAGACCTGAATCACAAACCTAGTACTCATGAAGTGCATTGGGTAGATGGGGGGACTGGCACACATGTACAATGTGGCAGAGGCAAAGAGCAAGGCTTACCGTAGCGGGTCGCGTGGTCAGTGACGGCAACGGCGGCGGCAGGGCATGGTAGTGCGAGCGGTAGCATGTGTCTTCGACGCGGACAGTGGCAGTAGCGAGACATGGCCACAGCAGACGTTCGATGCAGACAAGGGAGGGTGGGTGAGGACCCCGGCATATGGGTAGTGATGTTTGATCCTAAGTGCCCGATTTTCGGCCCTTGTGGCCTCACACATTTGGACCGGATATGTCCGCCTCTAGGATCCGGTCAGCCCAAATTGGGCTGTTTATGTCCGCATAAGTGACCTATGTTCGGGCGCCCCCCGGTGTGTCCGCCAAACGGATCCAACCTCGAAACCGGCACACGCCCAACGCTGCAACGAGTAGATCGTGACATGATTACTCCGGGATATTGTATTTCAGTCTTCCTAAGATCCACCACTGTTTCCAAAGCTTGCATTTCATTCACCGTTGCTGAGGATATACCTCCAAGCTAAAGTAGTCAGTATGGAGAAATGGAAAATGAAAAGGTGAAAAGCCGGCAATCGTACGCAGCGCAATGCTTGGTACGATTCCCGGTGGGTTGGGGGAGGCTCGGTTCGGGGCGGCTCTGCCGCCGGGCCGGAAGCGGCAAATGCCGCGGTGGCTGAAGGAAGTGCAGCCAGGCCAAACCGAAACCGAGGCTCAGAGCGCGGTGGCGCAGCCACGGAAAGCGGCGTCTTCGGGACGCAACGAGATCCGGGCTACACCACCCCACTGGGGAACAGAACAGAGGGACGCGGCGGGTGGGCACGAAAAATATGCCGTCGTCGAGCCAAGCAGAACGCGTACAGAAAGGGAGATGCGCACGCGCTGAGCAGAATGGGGAAAGCCACGTGTACTAAACGTGCTCAGCGCGTGGGAGGTCTCCCATGCCTCCTTAGCTTGGCTCGACATAAGTCCGAGCCGTTCGTCCCTCACGTCGGACTTATGCACCAGGATATATACGAGACGAGCTGACAGTTGACTGAGAAGTATAAGAGACACCACTCAACCTAGTACAAGGACTACTGGGTGTGACATGTTGACACTTCGACGACTCGGTATGTCCGCCAGGTGATCGGACACCAAGACCGGCAAGGCCCTTGTGTCCGCCGTGATATACCGGACATGGACCGAAATTTTGGGCTTTATGTCCGCCTAAATATCCGACATAGGGCCTCAAAATTGGCCGTTTATGTCCGCACTAGGATCAAACATATATACCGGTATGCCGGGGTCCTGGTGGGTGGTCAGCGGAGTTTGAATTGCAGTCACAGTGGCTGGTATCGAGCCTATGGTCGAGCTAACGTTTTTCCCCTCCTCCCCACTACAAACGTCGCTAGCCATGAGCAGCAGTGCAGCCGATACTACTCCCTCTTCTCGGCTGATTCTAGATCAACCCAGACCAGCGGTCGGGCATCGCGTCGAAGCAGTCGACCCTAATGGACGTCGCTGTACCGTCGAGCATTGCCCTAGAGAGCGGGCAGTTCAGCTCTGTCATGTTCTGCCGAGAAGCACACATGAAACCTTGGTGGAGTTTCTTTAACTCCCAGCTGTTTGCATCATAGTGACTGTTGCAACCTCCTTCAGTTGTCAAGCTTAGAGTGGTTTTGGCGCATGAGGCATCGATCACTGAATCTGGATACAAGGTATAACATCTTCCCCCGTGAGTATCATCTTCGTATGTTGCACTTCCTGGTCCTCAGCCCCCGATTAGTCGGGGCATCGCTTCACTTCCTCCACGATCATCATCGCTGGGCCTTGTTGCCACCAGATGAAATAGTCAACCAGTATGCAGCCACTCTGCGGCGTGGTCGCGTGGCGGTACGTGAAGATTTCCCAGCAATCGGGGTACGTTACCTTCTCAGCATTCATGCTGTCGTGTCTCATAAACATCCCGACCCAGAATGATATCTACACTTATCGTTTTCTTCCTCTCCACTCGGACATGAAGACATTTGGAGTCACGCAGCAGACACAGCATCCTCCGACCGCTGATAGCTTCGCAAGCTTTGTTTACCCCTTCGACGGCCTCATACTGCGGTCACATATCCATCCCAAATTTGCGATCGTGGAGCTTGGCCGTAAGATGGCGCGTCTCGGGCCCGAGGTCTGGGTCCCTCTTGTCACTCAATGGCCCATTCTCGATACCATCCTTGCTATATGGACTGCGTGGACGGCCGGGACTGCGGAACTTCCTATGGATGCTGAAGATCACTCGTCCTTCAGGTCCGAACCGAGCGAAGACGATCCGGGAGATCCTGATTATGATGACAACAGTCAACACACGGGTCGTCGTCGGATTGGGCGAGCCAAACGCAGAAGGACTGAGCGAGAGCAGCCTTCACCAACCCCAGTGTCGGGTGCTCGCAAACGTGATGCTGCTCTCTCTTCTGCAACCCTAGTCATGGACGAACCGGAGGGTAAAGCTGCGGCGTACTGGTCTTCGGACGCCATACGTGATTGGACTGCCACCATTCAATAGAATATATACTGCAGGCGCATTTGCGAAGAAGAGGAATCAGCGACGCTTGCAACGCTTTACAGCCGGCACACAGTATTTACACATAGAGCCCTCATAGCCACAGGTCAACTACGGGGACCAAGTCTGCATCCCGGATTTCCTGACGATAATATATTCTGTCGAAATGGTACAGTATATTGGTGAAATGATAGAGAATTTGCATTTCCCCAGCTGGCAGCCCGGAATGAATGTGATATATCTGGGCCTTAGTGCACACAAGTCACTACACTTGTGTAAGCCTGGTGGGCTTACTAGGTTCCCATAACTAACATATATACCTGTGATTGGCTGAGAAAACAGTTCTCAATCATATCACCTTTTGGTGTAATGGTTAAAGCCTCACAGGTCTTGACCCTCTTACAACTTGTTGATGAGAATCCAGCAATAACATGGCAAGTCATGATAGCCTTTTCCAATAGGTGTCTGCCGAATAGAAAATCCTGTATTTATCTATTGTTTTGCCTGTAGCATGCTCTAGATAGGAGTTCTGTCCAGCCTTGGGACATTGGTTATTGCAAAATGTCTCTTCCAATCCCCTGTGTTCCCCACATACATTCCTGGAACCCTCACACTTTAATTGAGTAGCTCATTGCACTCTTTCTGATTGGCTACTCGCCCACAGTCATGTAGGTAGGTAAGATAAGCCTTCACTCCAGCAAGTGCTGAAAGCAAATTCTCGCTATAGGACCGTTTTCCACCCATCTGGGCTCACAACAGACCCCTCCACTGGCGGCTCTCTCTGTTTCAAATCTTCACTGCTTTTCTTTGCTTGGTGACAGTTTGTCTTCCATAGTATTGCAACATACAACATGCGAAGTCCAACTTTCATCTTCTCTCAAAGTTCAAATTGTTCGACTGACGGCACCGCTGAAATTGTACCGCGGTTGAACATCACACCAACTGGCAGTGGGGTACTGATTCACTCACAGAAATCCAGTGGGGGACCCTTCTAGGCGTTTGCCTTGAGAGCCGCGATAACTTGCGAGACGCTCGACGGCGGCTTCGTGCCCGCGGGCCAGCTCGCGGAAACGGCGGTGGATCCCCCTGGGCCGACGACCTTGGCCTTGTACACGCCGTCGCTGCCGAGCATGGTCTCGATGTGGTACGCGCCGCCCGTGGACGACTTGCCGTCGCCGTGCAGGCGGTTCCACTGCTTCGCCGGGTCCCACAGGCCCGAGGTGACCTTGGAGACGTCGATGCCGTTCAGGTAATCTTTGACGGAGGGCGCTTTTTTCTGTGGACATCTCGTTGGTGAGTGACTCGAGTTTTCGCGGATGGCGATGACCAACCGGCAATCTATTGGTATGTGGATGCAAAGGTGTTCCAGGTGAGTGGCGGTCAGTGGTTGGTTGCTGAGGACGATGATGTTGTAGACCTTGCTTCCTCTGCTTATACGGCTTCAGAGGAGGTCACCGGGCGGTGGGCGAATCTCCTGTGGTAATGCCAGGGTCACACGCATCTGTCAAAGAGAGCCAGAGGCGGTGATATGGCTATCACAAGTAGTACATTTGCCTGGCTTCGGGGCGCTTGTCACCCACTGAATAACATGCCGTACGCCACATAACGGCAGAATGAGAATGGGGAGGGGGGCCTGGACGGGTCGGCGCATTGCTAGCGCTGAGAGCAGGAGTCTTGGGGTGTCGACACTGTGCAGGCCTTCCTCTGACCGTCCTCGCCAGTAGTCCTTGCCTTGGTAGCGTACCTTATAGTACATCGAGTACATGTCCATTGCAATATTTCAAGAGATTACAAAGACATGTCTTGCAATGCGGAGGTGGAGGATGTGAACCTACACATGAAGGGCGCGTAGGGCTAGGGGCCTGCTGTCACTCCTCCAATGGACGGTAGTACCGGAGGCTTCTCTCATACTTCCATACATCCTCTCCAACAAACTGTCGCACTAGACCGAGAAGCACGAATCCGATAGCGCCCGTCTCGTCCTGTGACCACTTGGCCTGGATCCACTCTTCTTCGCTCTCGTCCTCGCGCCGAAGACGACACTGTCCGAGGTCGATCAGAACCACCGCGCCGTCCACGGACGGCGCACCTCCGTCGCGAGAGGCCGGGGCCAGGAATTCCTGGCGAACGAGGAAGTTGTCCACCCGCACGTCCTCGTTCAGCACCTCGAAGTCGGAGATGCGGTCGACGACCCTCACCGCCTCGTTGCACAGCGCGGCGAGAACTGCGTTCGGCAGCGGCGGGTCGCGCAGCGTCCAGGTGGCGACGAGCTGCCGGAGAGAGAGCGCCGAGACGTATTCCAGGAGGAGACCGGAGACCACGTCCGTGACGGGCGCGCCATCGCCGCGGGCGCCGGCGTTGACGTGTTCGTACTCGATGTCCCCATACAGCGTGGGCACCATCCTCCCCTGCAGCTCGTGCAGGCGTGCGTACGCGGCGCGCTCCGCGTCGAACGTCCGCTGCGCGACATGGCAGAGGTACGCCTCGAACTCGCCGTCCGAGACCTCCTTGTCCCAGAAGAAGGTTGGGCTATTGAAGTCGCCGAGTGCTGCAGACCCGGTGGAGACGTCGTTGAGATATTGCCGATATTCCTGCTCCTTGTCGAGCGACCACGGCTTGCCTTCGTCGAAGTCGGTGCGGATGTTGGTGAAGCAGCGCCGATCGTACAGTTTGAGAATGGCGGTTGAAGGAAGGGGGAACCCGTTTTCCAAAGATATTGAGACAAGGAGGACGGGGGACATGGTGAACGGACGATATGCCTTTACAATCTTGCAAGCGATGGAGGTCCTGTCCGTGGAAGATGAGCCGACATCTTTCAGGGAGAGTAGTAGCTCCATCCCCTCGACGTATTCAGGAAAGATATCCCTGAGAGTTGAGTTAGTAAAGAGATAATGAGAGGGCATACCCGTCAGTTCAACGTACGACTGAGCTGCTTCAGGAGCCATAGCTGCTGAGGGTAAATACTAGTAAGTACTGTGGTGGACGTGGTGACCCTGCTATTATGAAAAGTATCCCGCATATCGATCGACAAGTACGTACGTACTACTACACGGCCGTTTGTAGAACTCTTTTATTCAGGAATAAGAAGCAGTCATTCTATGAGTGTGGCGATTACTGTACGCTGAGTTTAAACATCGGCAATTACCGAGGCGGTGTGGCGCCACTAACTGACACTTCGGTGTGGCAATGGAGCGTGCTCCTGCCTTGTTCTACCTCCTGGTTTCTATCCTCCTGGCAACTGGATCTTCTTTCATTAACTTCTTGTTATACCAGGTTATAGATACTTGACTGTACTTTCTTCGCCCCCGAGGGGGCGAGTCGAGGTACCCGGAACGCCACGCGTGTCGAATACAGCCAGGTAAGTAAGTTACCCAACCGATACCTTCCGCTGGAAATCGCGACTGGAAAAATCCCGTAGCTGCATTCCGTTGAATCTCGAGCGCTCGGCACTCGGTGCTATACGTCCTCACTCGACCGGATTATCCTCCAGTTTCCCCGATTGCAATTGGTTCTGTGGAGTACCGTCTCTCGAGCGCGGCACTATATCTACCAACTGCCATGGGATGACACCTATAGTGTAGGGTAGGCCTGGGGTGCGCAACTCTCTTGCTTCTGACGCCCGGGGTCTCTTCTTTCTGCTCTCCACACAACTTGAGGATGGCCCGAGCGAATCTGAAGGACCCAGTTCCGACGTATTTCCAGTCAAGTACGAACCCCTGCCTGCCGACTGCCGATCACTCAAGCTGTCCGGGTCTTTCCTCTTCCACGGCTCGACGTTTTCCTGCGCGTCTCACCGGCGGATTTGACAGTTCTTGATCGATGTCCCCACTCCACGGAAGAAAGGGGCGGGTCCACGTTATCCGAGTCCGACCGCCTCGTTGCGGAGGCACATACCCTGGAGAGCGTGGACCCCCTTGCTTTGCTGCTTGTGTGCCCGCACGCTCGCCCTGCATCCACCACCGATTCCTCTCACCCTCTAGCACGCCTACCTTGGATGGAAGGGCCACGCGGCTGCCTCGCACCTTCGCGGGAGGGTGCCATCGCCTCGAATCCGATCAAGAACATTGGACTAGCATTGTCGATGTTATATATGCGCGGGGGTCGAGTACTTACTCGTATGCGGTATCCAACCGCCAGCTCCCCCCCCCCCCCCACCATGACACTGACCCGAGCGCTCGGTCCTCTGCCATAGGCATCCAGCCCCGGCACGCGCTCTTGCCGAACGGACGGCCCAGTTTCTCCGATTGGCTCGCGCGGATCACTTCTACCACGGGACTACATACAACACCGGGACTCTCTGGCTGCAATCACCTCTCCCCCTCGCGCGTCTCCCGTCTCCCGTCTGCCGTCTCCTGTACCTTCTCCGCCTCCGCCTGGGAGAACTCGGACGCTCAATCCGCCTCACTCACTCACTCACTCACTCACTCACTCACAAGCACGCATGCCAGCTGCCGACCACTCCGGATCCCTGTCGCCCACAACATCCGTCCCGCCACCAACCCGCGACGTCTTCGCTCGTCCATCTAATATATAATATATATCACACGCGTAAATGCCCCGGCCGGGTGCCAGGACTGGGATCGTTCCTGCCACGCCCATTTCGGAACGCCTGCCTGCCGTCCCCTGCCGTCCCTACAAACCCACTCGCCCGCCAGTGTCGAGGCTGCTCGTCTCCGCGGCTGTCCTCCGTATACGTGTGGTCCCAGCATTCCAGGACCCGGGTTCGGAATGCCGCGCCGGTTTGCTGGTATCAATATACAATACATCTTCGCAGTGGCTGCATGACATTACCATTACCCTACTTCTTCCGGCGTTCGCGGGGGGGCAGCGTGAACGTGAATAAGTACTGCACGGGAAGTTGGGAACTTGGTGTTCGAGGCGGGGCTGGATAGATGGACACAAAAGGCCGCGAACCACTGAGAGTTGCGTGTGGCGAGATACATCCTGTGCGCGTAGGCGTAGTTCGCAATGTACAGCGTAGAATCCATCCATCTACACGTCTCGTTACACGACGCTCTCCAGCGGGACGCGCACCTCGACCACGCCCAGCTCGAGCACGGGCACCTCTCCTCCCCCTCCTTCCGCATGTCCCTCCCCCCCGATCTCCCCTCCTGGCCCGCAGCCCACCTCAGATACATCCACGCGCGCCTTGCCCTTCAGCTCCGCGGACAGCGTCGCCGTCGACAGCGGTCGGTGGTGCAGCGCGGGGGCGGGCATGGCGACGAGGACGGCGACGCGCAACGGCTGGGGCGTGATCTGTGCTTGGGGGGAGGCGGGCGCGGGCGCGGGCGCGGGCGCGGGGGGGCGGGGACGCCCGCGCCGGGTGCAGATGGCTGTGTCATCTCTACGTCTGTCGTCGTGGGGCGTGCGCGCGGGTGGCGGAGGCGCTCGAGGAGCGTGCGCGGCGCGGGCGCGGGAGGGGTTGGGCGGGGGCGGGGGCGGGGGCGGGGCGGCGCGAGACGCAGAGACGGGCTGTATGCACGTCGGTGATAAGATAAACGGTGCCAGGGAACGAGTGGACGACGCACCAGCATCCCCTCCCACCCGCCCTTCCCCTTCTCGCCGGCCATCCCGTCGCGCGCGCGGTCCTGCCCGACATACACCTCGTAGAGCACCGGCTTGGGGCCGGGCTCCGCGGCGGCGCGGGCGACGGCCCTGCGGCCGCCGCCGGGCGGGGGCGGGAAGACGCCGGGGACGTAGGTGCCGGCGAGGATGGCCTGGTGGACGAGGCGGCGGTGGCGCTGGCGGAGGACGAGGGAGCGGAAGACGATGGCGGCGGAGATGGAGAGGAGGAGGATGAGGGTGGCTGTGGAGGAGACGATGACGGGCGCGGGGGAGGCGGCGGGGGCGATGTCGAGCGTGGACGGGGAGGATTGCATGGTTCAGGTCAGGTGCGGAGAGGAGGGAAGAGAGAGGGGCGTGCCTAGGAAGGTGTAGACTGGGCCGGGCGGGCGGAGTGAGGGTGAGTACAGGCGGGCGGGGAGAGGACATACGGTACAGACTGGACGAGGACGCGACGGTGGGCGCGCCGGAGGAGCCGGAGGAGACGACCGTCGTCGCGGTGGGGCGCGCGCTGGAGGACGGGGACGAGGACGAGGACATGGTTTAAGAGTGCGTTGGCCCCGCGTTATGTTATGCGCAGGGCGCGCTCCTTGTTCGGCGAATCCGTGGCAGCGCTCCCACTCTGGTGCGAAGGTCGTGTTTATCAGCCATCGTGCGTGTAATCCCGTGCGACACACCCGGACGCGGGTACGCTCGGCCCGCCCTTCGTGATCGTAGCGCGATAACGCCGGGACGTCATCGCCTTGTCCGAGTCGTCACCGCGATCGCCCCGATCGCGACCTGTCAAACTGCCTATGAACGCGATCGACGACGCGCTGGTGTTGCCCGAGTACGCGAGTGAAGACAAGTTAGGTGTCCGGGTATACACAAGTATCATACATCATCCTTTCCTTCCCTCCGCATCCCCCTCCTGCCTCTCCTCCCGTCCCTCCCTGCGTGCCAGACAGCGTCAGCATCCGCACCCACACAGCAAGGAAAAAAGGAAGCACTCACATCTCCTTCGCGCGCCCCTTCTCCTTCAGCTTCCCGCTGCAAACCACCGTCCCGAGCCCCTTCTCCATCTTGCCCCCCAGTCCGTGCTTCGCGCCCTTCTCGTGCGCGTGGTCGACCGCGTGCTGCCCGCCCTTGTTCGCCGCGCCCTGCGCCGCCTGCGTGCATGCGTCAGTTAGTCTATCCGTGGCCAGGCCCATCGGGGGAGGGGGGGGACGTACGGAGACGCCGACGGTCGTCCCGATCGATGCCGCGGTTGCTGTTGCTGCCATGATCTTATTGCCTCGCGTGGGTTTAGGCAGGCAGGGTGTAGTGATACGTGCAAAGGCTCGGTGCGATTTGTAAAGTGCGTGAACCCCCTCCGCCGCTTTTTATCCCGCACGAAGGGTATGACGCAATCACCACTCGCGCCCGCTGGCGGTGAGTAACGCCAGCGTTGGTGCATCAGAGAAGGGTGGCGAGGTGCTTGGCGACCGTGGCGCTGGGATTAGAGCGTATTTGCAAGGCCCAAAGTACGACCTTTGATCCAAAATTTGGAGCTGCTGATCCAGAGGATTTAGCCGAGGGTCGCCTACCTAAACCGGTAGCCCTTGCTCCACCCGTGCCGCGAAGTCATCTATAAAACTCATATTTCTCGCTCACTCAGCTTCATTTTTGTTCAACAAACATCTACGGATACCTACGATACGCCTTGTACAACTTTTGCGGTAGTTAGACACGATTTAGAGAAAACCGAAAATCAACCGTACTTCGCTGAGAGAGCGTGCCGCGCTGATCCGTGAGTCCTTCAGAAAAGTGGAGCGCCTCTCTCCGCAAACTTTTGGGCCTTGCAAATACGCTCTATTCGCTTCAAGAGTGGCTGGTTGGCAAGTAAGTAGCCTGCTTAGTGAGTAGCCAGGAAGCGGGGAGACGTCACCGGCCTTGGCGGCACGCACACAAGTGCGAGTGGTGGTGATGGAGCGCCGGACCCGTTTCCGGCGGAGAGTCTGCGGTCACGACTCACGTGTACTCGAGCCCTACAACAGCCAATTGCAAGCTATCCATAATCCAAGTCTGTACGCCCAGTACCCAGCTAACATACGTACGGGTCGCAAGCAACCACGTATATAACAAGTACCCTAAGTCGACTAGTACTACCGGCCGCGTATTGTACTGTGCTGGCCCATCCAGAACACTCTTAGCTACGCCTCATGCCAATGAACACAAACAAGATCCACGCTCCCTGGGCCCAGGCCAGCCGATGCAAGTCCACTTATGTTTGCAACTTGCAGGATTCAGAAGATCTCGAGAACACGATTGACCGTCAAGGACTCGGAGCGTGCTACTATCTACCAAGGCTCGGGCACGTACTATCATTTGGGTAGTTTTGCAAAATTTGCAAAACTACCGCAGCCCCTAGAGAGAGCTCTATACCAGATAAAAAAATTCAGAGACTTTTTAGGCATGTAGATATAGACTAGTAGATACCCTCTGTCAAGTTGGTTTAGGGAAATATCGAGTGGTCATGGAGAGGGAGGAAGAGGAGGATGTTTGCAACCGCCTACAGACCGTGTGAAACCTAGATCTGGTACTCATTCCATGGTTTTTTGCCGGGATTTTGTTTGGACTATACTGGTGTACCATACATTGAGCTACTCAAGCAGCCCGATTGTGAAGAGATTGAGGATGTAGCTATAGCGATGCTGTTTTGCAAAACTTCGAGAGGCGGATCGTGACAAAAACGTGATGGATCTCGCGGGGATGTCACGCGTGACAAACTTTTGCAAAACCCCCTGCACACGCCGGCATCTGTCCAGCATCCTCTACACCACGTATTAAAGTACAAAAAAATCACAGTTGGGTACATAGAAGGGTGCTACACAATGCCATGAAAAAGCTCTGACGCAAGAGCCAGCGAACTGAGCACAACACGTCGATTTACAGAGAGTTTTGCAAAACTACCCAAATGATAGTACTTGCCAGAGCGGGGAGACAGGGAGACGGCGACCAAGCGGAGGACCCCTGAAAATACCGATAGATGCCGGTGCCAGTCCGGACAAAAAAAGCGCCTTGGGCGAGGGACGCCGGTGCCAGTCCGGACGTAAGTAGGGGTCTCAGCCGGCCAACCCGGTTTTTTAGTCCGGACACCAACGGCACCCCAGCAGTGAGGCCGGTTGTAGTCCGGACATGGTCAGCAGCCCGCCACTTCGTCGCGACTAGTACACTATCATGACCCGGTATGGTATTTCTCACCGACTAAGGATAGACATGCCTCCCCTGTAGTCGTGAACCCCTTATTTGCACGGAATTATACAGTTTTTAATATCACGCTGAAATCCAATATCGCGGCGGTATCGTATCTTGCCGTCCAGGGCTACGAAGCCATGAATGGGCGGGTATTTCGCGCTGTCTCTCAGACCCTGGCAATGCTCACAGCCATTTGCAGATCGATGGGCCCACTTTTTGAAAATCATTTACAGTTGGACCACGTCGGACAAGCAATTTCAAGTCCCCGAGAGACAGAAATCAGACCACCTGGACTTCTCTACCTTCTTCTGACGTCCCTGGCACCCACTCCGACCCACTCCGACTATACGTGGTTTTCTGAATTGATGGTCTATCGATCTGCAAGCAGCTGCAATGCCTGCTGAATCACTCATTTGCGACTGTAAGGCCGTAGCAGTCAACTTCCTGTTTGGGTTCGCGCGGCAAGATGCGAATCACGGTACTGCGGCAAGTGCCGGATGCTAATGGATCTTAACATACAGTTTGCGTGACAAGTATTGCTGCCGTAGTCCAGCAGCTATCTTGTGGTGGCGCTTTAACGATGTTTGAGTGTTCGACTCTCGCTGGAGCATATATTTTTCATCTTTATATTCTTTATTTCCGTACCGTCTTCGTATTCAACATTGCACGGCAAGGGGGCAGTTAAGGTTTGGGTTAGGTTTTGGGTTAGGTCAGGTTTAGGGGGGTCCGGGGGGGCACCCCCCCGGTTGGTTAGGGTGTGGGTTAGGGTGCGGGTTACAGAACATCTTCAAGGGGGGGGGTCCGGGGGGGAACGCTGATAAGCCTCGGGATCGTCTGACCCCCGAAAATGCGGACTCAGTGCATCGTACAAGCCCTCCGGAGCTTATTCGACACAGCGCTCACACACCTCTAGGCTTCTATGGGCTCTAAAGACTTGCTCTGTTTTTAGCTCCGGACTTCCTAACATCCTTGAGGCGTACACGGACCCATTCCACAATTTATCTCCGCAAACAGGAGCTCCGGAGCGACTTAACCAATGCAACGTCTAGATGAATTAGCTCCGGGGCCCGCGGGAACTTCTATCGAGGGGCATCGTCCTAATGCCCACCCTCCAGCACTCACTCCCCCTCATTTCCGTCAAGATTCCGAAGGTGCGGATGTATATGAGTCACCATGAGGTCAGCATCAGTCAGCAAGCGGCCGGAGGTAATTAGCACGTGACCGGCGCGTCGCACGGAGTGATGGGACCGCTTGGATCAGGTGGCGGAGCATCGAGGCGACCTCTAGGGGCTGGGACGAGCAAGTGGGAGTGCAAGAGAGTCGTATGGTGTATGGTATAGCGGAGGAAAGTGCTGAGCAATCCTGTGGGTAGCGGCGTTTATTTGTTATTTATCTCCGGACGGTCGCAAAGCCATTCCCGTAGTATAAATTGTACAAAGTAGCATACAGAAAAACAAGTTTTTCGACTTCACCATCTCAGAGAATTAACGTTACGATCTCAGCGACCCGAGAAGTTCGAAAGCGTCGAACTTAGCGACTTATAACCGATCCTAGCTTTGCCAATAGGCCTGACTCGTCGAGAGAAATATCTCCGCCATCGATTTAACTAGTTCTGGTGAGGTTCACATAGCGAAACAAAATTGAGCAACTCTTTCTAGCGCCTTCTACTCCCGTGAGCCCGGACCTACACTCGGTTCCGTGGTTTGCGACTTTGTTTGCGACTTTCCGGAGATAAATACTCCGGAGCGTCCCTTAGTGTTTGTTTCAGGCGTCAAGGTTTTTGTTTTATTTTTCTAGGTCTTCCTACGGACTACCCTACGGCGTCTTACTCCTCCTTTCCCCCTTGAACTATTAAATACCCTTCAGTTGTCTCAGACCGCCTTCACCCATATCACGGGGTTTAGGTTTATTTCTTTTGGTCCTTGGTGATTGTTGTGTGTCAGTGCATATCAACGCCCCGGTTGGTTAGGGTTTGGGTTATACAGGATGTATACTGTAGTAATTTCCCGTTCAATTTACTATATCTACCAAGCACTTGTACACTGTGGAAGCCATCACCAGCATCGCTGAGTCGCTGACGACAAGTTTCTCGCGCCTACCCAATAAGGAAGTTGACTGCTACGGCTTTACATCCCTCATTTGCCTGCCACATCTTGCCTTTGCATGCTGGAGATCTCAAGCCCGAAGGCTCTTCCGTTATCTATTGAACTTTCTACCTCAGGCTATGCACATTTCAGGTTTTCATACATACACCCTAGTATCTAGTGTCTAGAATGATTTGTGGACTACAATGGGTGATTTTTGCTGTTTCCTAGAGGCCGGGGCAATAGTCCGGACATGGATCCGACCTTGGCCGATGCCGGTATTTTATCCGGACATAAAGGCGGGGGGCCGCCAAAAAAAGTCCGGACATGACAAAATCAAGTCCTGCACCGGCATCTATCGGTATTTTCAGGGGTCCTCCAAGCGGGCGCGACGGGCGCACTGCCGGTCATCTGGATGACCGTGCAATCCTGGCGAATGTCGCCCGATAGATTAATATTGGGGGCGATGCCTGCCTGCCGCCGTGAAAGCTCGGCTACAACTTGGGAACGAGGACGAGATGAGGCGGCGGGGATGATGCGGCTGGAGAGATGTACTAGTAGTGGAGGGACTAACGATGTAATCCTGGATGATCGCCAGTAGTCACGGATTCTCGCCTCCTTTTCCGAGGCAAGGCAGAGCTATGTGAGCAGCCGTGGAATATCTGTGTGGGGGCCCTCTGAGATAGCGGCTCACTATCCCGTTCTCGAGCGAATCCACATCGGCGAAGTTAATGTTGATGATTTGTTGATCCTGGCTCACCTTCATACGAGTCGACCTTCTTTCATACCCCATCCCCGCCTAACCAGCCTGCATGTGTCATTCAGTTGCTTGAGCCCCGAAGAAATGGGTAGGCTTGTCGATCTCCTGGTGCAGATATTCCCGACCTTGGAGGACGTCTTCATAGCCTACCCGAAAGGTCTTCAGAGAAAGGTGGAGGAACGTCATGCAACAATCAGGGGCAGACCATTTATGGGCGCCCAAGGCCACACGCTGAGAGTGCTTCAGAATTAGAGATAGGGCGATAATGGGTGCTTCAGATGTGCTTCTAACATGCTGCTGGCGACATGGTGTAGAGGGGAAGGTTCTTTATTCCGGGATCAAATTCAGATATTACTGGTTCGGGACATTCATTCTTTTACCTTTGGCAGGCGGCTGTAGACTTCCCTTGAACTCTGCTTGATAACTTCCAGAAACCTGTAGGGGTGTGTTACTGTACGTACCAGTCCTCCCGGGAGTCCGCCGGGAGTCCCGTGACTCCCGTCGCGTTCATCGCGTCACGGCCGCGACATGTCACAGCGGTGACGACTCGCGTTTATCATCTGACACCGGAGCGCTTCACCGACATAAACCTGGTAGAAACCCACCGCAAGGAATGTCAGAGTACGTGTACTCCATGAGTATGGCATGGTGTATCGCTTATAGCAGATTATAACTTAGAGTGTCCTCTTCTCAAGATGAAATGACGCTGGCAGCCCGACGAGATATCGAGGAACAGATCGCCCAGCGACATGGAGAAATCATCGACTTGAAGCGTCGGCTGAACACGCTCGTGCTCGTTGCGCGTCTGCCGCCTGAGCTGCTTGCCGAAGTATTCATCGCCTACGCTGAATTGAGCACCAGTCAACATGTAGATCAGTACCATGGGTACACTGTCCACCAGTACCGTTCTCGTTTCCGCATCGCTCAAGTCTGCCACCACTGGCGCGAAGTCGCTCTCCAAAACCCCCGGCTCTGGGCAGATATTTCCCTCGTCAGGCTGCCATGCGTGAAGGAGATGTTGGCTCGGTCGAAAGAGGCGCCCCTGACGATTAGGGGCAGTATGGATGACTCCCTGGAGGGCAGGGATCTATTTCGATGCTTTATTGGTGAGCTGCACCGCGTAAGACACCTCAATCTTACCGTGCAAACACACATCTTGCGACAATTTCATCGCTCGGAACTAACGCACATGCCCCTCTTACGATCCTTGAAATTGAGCGCATCGTACGGGGAGAGTCCGCGGAGCGCCGAGCCGCTGCCGTTCATCTCGACTCTCGCGCCTACACAGCTTCGCGAGCTCGATGTGACTGGATATCCGTTGGACTCCTTTCGAATGTTCATTCTCCCGTCCCTCACCAGCCTGTCTTGGTCTGGACATTCGATCAAATCGACGGTTTCCACCGTCCTCGCCTTGCTCCGTGATACTCCGCTTCTCTGCTCACTCGCGCTATCCAACTCGCCCTCAATTTCTGGAGAGGATCTCCTGCTCCACATCTCAGAACGTCACGTCGACCTTCCTCATTTGCAACGTCTGTATATTGACTGCGACGTTGTTCCTTGTGCGGAGTTCGTAGCTCATACATCATTTCCGGTGGAGGCTGCGATTCACTTGAAGGTGGACGGCTTGTTGAACGAAACTCAGCCTCAAGCGGTGGAAGCCATAGCCTCTGTCATCGACAGAATGACGGACGCGCAGCCTCTCCGCACTCTCCTCATAAAACGTGTACACACATACGGTCGGGCGCTGGAATTTAAAGGATGGACCCACGTACTTCCTCACGAATCAGATTCGCACCAGCCCTCGCCGAAAGTACAACTGACGGCGTTGGATGGAGGGATTGTCGCCCAGTCAATCATGGCGAAACTAGGAAGACGCTTACCGCTCTCCGACGTGGAGTATCTCCAACTTGAAGATATACCCGGCTTCGAAGCATGGAAAACATCGTTCGGGCACATGTCGAAGGTGACCAAACTGCGGGTCAACGGGTTGGCGGCCGATTTTCTCTCTACTGCGCTGCACTTCCGCAAGTCCAAGAAAAAGAATCCTGGGAGTCAGAACAGGGACTTGCGAGACGTCAAAGATAACGACCCGGACGTCCGCCTGTTTCCTCGACTACAGTGTCTTCAATTGGAAGAAGTGCGATTTTACGAGATCTACGAGGAGCCTACGGACGAGGATGTCATAGATAACATCGAGGCGGCGCTAGCGTCCAGGAAGGTCAGGCGTCGCAAGTTCCAACACCTCGACATTCGAAGAGCTATCAACTTCGGCAAGGACGAATTAGCACGCCTACAGCGAGTTGTCAAGACGCTTACCTGGGACGGAGAGGTAAGTATAGAGGACGTCGACGAAGACGAAGATGAAGAATATTACGGCGAGGAGAATGATTATTACTCTATAGGGATGGGTGGTTTCTGGTCTGACGATTTTGACGAGGATCCGTACTATTTTGACTGAAGCCACTAGCTACTGGTGAGAGCGAGTACGGACGTATCTTGAACCAATCGTTGCTGGAGCTGGCCGTTTTGTACTTATATGGAACCACCGATCGTAAGTGTGGGAGTTGTGGCAAAGAAGCGTGGTACCCGCATGGTCGGCGCGTCGATGGCGGCGGGTGGCTGATCACATATCTCATCCTCGCCCTCCAGTCCGTTCCCTCGTAAAATCACTACTTTTACCACCTTTCGGGTTTCTGCACAACGCTACTACTAGTGAACGGTCTGAGCATCGCCGCCGTGGGTTGGCACGTGATCCTTATCGTACTGAAGCAAAAATAGCTCGCCATCACTGCGTCCGTCCACGCGTACGGTGACAAACCGCGTAGTATTTAACGACGACTGCCACGAATTCTCGTTCTTGACCCGCTTCCAGGACTGCATCCTGAAGCAGAGCAGTCATGGGCACGAGCTTCTGTGACGGCTCGAACGCGTTTGACCTGCGGGAGGCTTGCGTACGCCAGTTTTGGAGTGCGGTGCTTCCAGCCGCATTCGTTTTCCTGCTATGCCTTGGATATGTGCCGACGCCAGCGGCTCTGAAGAAGCTGCTGTCGCTCGTCAAAGCACCCTTCTCCGAGTTCATTACTCTAGAAGAAGCTGAAGCCTTAGACGCGTCACTCGAACCTGAAACGGTCCAGAGCTCCGACAAACCTGTACCGCTCTGGCGGACAGTCGTCTTGTCATTCATAGCTTTACTGCAGAGCCTTGTCTGGCTCGGTATTGGATCGTACAGACTCTTCGCCGGTGTCGACAGTAACCCCTGGACGGCGGGCCAACCGATCCTTATATCGTTTTCCTGGTTCTACGCGTCTTTGGTTCCTGTTCTCCGCCCAACGGCCACACCACCATGGGACTTACTTGTTCTATACTCGATTCACTTTGTAGTCGGCATTGTCTCTCTCGGCGCAGTCCTGTACAACCATAACGTGTACCTGGTCCCGCTCCCGCACCCCCTAATTTTCACGGCCATGATCGCCGACCTGGTGGGAATTGTGGTTCTGCTGGTCGTGGTCTTGCAGATGCCCATGGCGATCCCGAGCAAGCAGGTCAAGAAGGAGGACATCGGCAAGTCGGTCTCGCCTGAGGACTATACGTCGCTCTGGGGATGGATCACGTTCAACTGGGTGTGGCCGCTCATCAAGCGTGGAACGCACGAGACACTTAATGAAGGCGACGTATGGAATCTAAGCCCCACGATGCAGTCGCGGCCCATCTTTGTCAAGTTCAGTACGCTCAAGGGGTCTCTGCTCTGGCGGATTTGGAAGGCCAACTCGAAGGATATTCTGCTCGACTTCATTGGCACGTACGCGAGCATTGTGTGCAACTACCTCGGCCCCTTCTTCCTGAAGAAAATCTTGGATGCGATCCAGGATGGATCGAAAGAACGCATGCAACAGGCGTACATCTATGCCTTGCTGGCATTTTTATCGCAGGTTCTCAAAGCCGAAGCGGATGTGCAGCATCTTTGGTTTGGTAGGAGAGCAGCAACCCGGGCCAGAAGTGAGCTTATGGCCGCTATTTACGCCAAGGCACTGAAAAGGAAGGATTTCTCGGGCATTGTCGACAAGGATAAAGCGAAAGGAACGGGAGAGAAGTCGAAAGAAGAGCAGAGGAAAGAGAAGGCCAAGGAGGACGATCCCAAGGCAGGCGCTGACACCGGTAAAATCGTGAATTTAATGGCCGGTGACTCCAATAGGGTGCGTTAGGTCTTAAACCACGGCAATGTTCCACTCATACCCTGCGGACTCACAGGTTGCCATGCTGATTTCTGGGATGTACTTCATATATGGAGGTGAGGAACGATACCCCGGTTACTACCTGCTCAAGGACTAAGGCATCATCTAGCGCCATTCGAGATTGTCATCGCCAGCATCTTTTTGTATCAGTAAGCCTAATCATGCCTCTGATGTCAGAACATGGGTCGCTTAAAGCCTGAATAGGCTTCTTGGGTTATCGGCATTTGCTGGTTTCGTCGTATTGTTGGCGGGTTGGCCGCTCAATAGCTTCATCGCACGTCGAGCCATTCGGATCCAGAAAGGTCTCCTGGCCGCCAGAGATAAGAGAATGGGCGTGCTGAATGAACTCATCGGGGCCGTCAAGTTCATCAAGTTCTTTGCTTGGGAAGAGAGGTGGATTGATCGCGCCATGGATGCCAGGCAGAAAGAGATACAGTGGATGGTGAAAGGTCCGCCAATACACTCGTCCCTCAGACGCCTCAACGACCTAATGATTCTGCGTAGCCCGGATTAACTCCGTTATGTTCTCCTTGCTTTGGACGTGCGCACCCATCCTGGTGTCGCTCATCTCCTTCTTCACCTATGTCATGCTCGGAAAGGAGCTAACTGTATCGATAGCCTTTACCGTGGGTTTTATTCCAGAAGCTCATTATGACGTGGCGACCTGATTGCTGTACCTTGCATAGTCTCTGTCGTTGTTCGGCATGATCAGGTAATAGCTCACGTACACACAGTTTTCCTCGTTAATCAATTTCTCGACAGGCAACCTCTCAATATCATTCCTGCTTGGATTGTCCAAATTCTTCAGGTGAGTATATCGAACAGGCTGCAATGGTGAGACTATTAATATCTTCCTCGATTAGACGCGAATAGCTATCAAACGGATTGAGACTTTCTTAAACGAGGACGAAGTGAGCGACCAGGTCTCCTCGCTCAAGAAGTCGGGGCGTGCCACTTCCTCCGACCTAGAGGAAGGCTTTGGAATAGTGGACGGAACTTTCAAGTGGAATGAGATTGAGCAGGAGTCGGAAAAGGACAAGGACAACGGTAAAGGTAAAAAGAAGGACGCAGGCACGAATGGAAGTTCTCCGGCGGAAGAAGTCCTTCCTCCTGATGTTCCTAGCGAAATTGCTGCCGCCAATGATCACCGGTTCGAGCTGAAAGATATTAACGTTATGTTCCCCGAGGGGAAGCTGAGCTTGATCACCGGGCCCACGGCCAGTGGAAAGACAGCCTTACTTGTGAGTGGGCCTATTTCCCAGTGTGATGTCTGTCACATCTGCTCTCTAGATGGCCCTCCTCGGAGAAATGACCGTACTCTCCGGTCGCATTCTTATGTCAAAGAACCCTTCTCGGATAGACGAAAATGGACTCATGCATTCCATATCATATGCCGCTCAGTCACCGTGGTTACGCCATCAGTCCATCCGCGACAATATTCTGTTTGGGTATCCATTCGAGGAGAAGAGATATGAAGAGGTCATAGATGCTTGTGCTTTGAGGCCCGATTTAGAGATCTTGGAAGACGGCGACTCGACAGAAATCGGCGCAAGAGGAGTGAGCTTGTCGGGCGGACAGAAGGCTCGGTAAGGTGATCGGCGAAGATTAACCGCTTAAATTACTGACCACCAATAGGGTTGCGCTTGCCCGTGCGGTCTATGCGAGGACGAAGTATGTTTTATTAGATGATCCCCTTAGTGCAGTGGTAGGTCTCATCCCCATTGATGTCAGAGTTTCCCGTCAATTACAACCGATGCTTGACAGGATAGTCACACTTCCCGACTTCTATTCGAGAAGCTCCTCAAAGGCCCTTTACTCCAAAACCGTACGGTGGTTTGTATTCTGCCACATTACATGCGACTTGGTTCAATACTGATCGACATGTGTATAGATCCTTGTCACTCATCATGTCGAACTCGTGTTGCCGGGTGCTAATTACATAGTTCGCATGCTGGACGGCCGCGTTGATACTCAAGGGAAGGTGGATGAGCTTCGTGAACGTGGCCTGCTAGACGACATTGCTTATGACTCCACTGCTGATCAAAACGCAAAAGAAGCCGAGAGCGTAAACGAGAAGACTGAAGAAGAACTGGCGGCCGAGGTAGGGGATGAAGATGCCCATAAAGATGCTACAAATGGGTCGGCGGAGCACAAGAAACCCAGAAAATTGATTAAGGACGAGCACAGGGAAACTGGTGGAGTCAAATGGTCCATTTACAAGACTTACTTGAAAGCCTCGTGCGTATGCCATGGTTACTGGTCTTTTCTTACTCAATCGAAGGCTCCAGTTCGTATTGGACTTGGACCATCTTGTGCATACTAATTGTACTGAGCCAGGTAGGTTGTGCACACTCTGAGAGGTCGCTGCTGCTGAAACACTTTCCCGACAGATCATGGGCGTTACTGAGAAAGTGTGGATCAAAGTAAAGTCATATCGCTCCTCACCTTTTTGACCGGTCGCTCAGTCCGGAAATGCAGTTCTGGGGTGAAGCCTATGGCGAAAGTGACACTAACCCATCAACACCGTATCTGCACACTTCGTTTGCATCGGCAGAGCATGAAATCGTCTTGGATAACCCTCTTTTCATGCACCATGCGCAGACTGCCTTCCAGTGGATGCAGGGACCATTTACTCCCTCTTACGGCCTTCCCAGAGCTCAGGACCACCCCTTATTTTACGTCGGGATCTACGCTGCTATCGGGCTGGGTGCTGCGACAATCAATATCGCGTCTATCATCACACAGATTACCGGCGCTTTGAGAGCCTCTCGTCTCCTGTTCCGACAGCTGTTGGTTGCGGTAGTGCGCGCCACAATGAGATGGCACGATGTCACGCCACAAGGTGATACCCCTCATTTTTCGTTCCAATCCCATCACTGAGAGGTGACTGATCCAGGGCGCATGCTTAATCGCTTCAGCAAGGTGCGACCGGCGGAATCCTGTCTCATCCATCCATGACTAATGAATGCATCCCAGGATATTGAGACGGTGGATACGTCACTTTCGGGCTCTCTTCAAGCTGTCAATTCCTCCCTAGCAAACTTCTTTGCCTCGGTGATCACGGTGACGTGAGTTTTATCTCGCTATGTTGCGTCGGCCATGCGTGTTGATTCGAGGATGTAGCGTGATCTTCCCACTCTTCCTGCTCCCCGCCTCGATCATTGGGCTTGTTTATCGCTACCTCGCAATCGGCTACTTGAACACTGGCCGAGATCTGCGGCGCATGGAGTCTAATAGTCGTTCGCCTATCTTTGCAGGATTCGGTGAATTATTGGAAGGTATCGTGACTGTCCGTGCATTTTCAGCCGAGCAGCGTTTCCTGGACGAATTACATGGAAAGATCGATCTCACTACTAAGGTTAGTTTCTAATGGGAACACGCTCTTCTCGGCCTCATGGGATTCGTTCGTCAGATGTGGTATTCTTTCTGGATGACAAATCGGTGGTTATTGCTCAATTTCGATATTCTTGGAGCCGGCGCAGTTCTGGTCACGTCCCTGTTTTCATTATCCGGGCTGGTGTCGGCGGGTACTGCTGGTCTGTGTATCACGTCCGCAATGAATTTTACGACCAGTATCTATTGGGCTTGTCGATTCTGGACCGCCTTGGAGCTTGATCTCAAGTAAGTTGCTATGCATGCTGGTTGATGCCCATACTAATCTTCGTAGCTCTGTGGAACGTGTCGTGGAATATCTCGATCTCCCCCAAGAGCCCCCTGCGGTCATCGAGTCGAACCGGCCCCCCGCTTACTGGCCTTCTAGCTCTACCCAAGCGGCGCTTATATCCGTCGAGGACCTTGTGATCAAGTATTCACCGGAATTGCCGCCTGTACTCCATGGTGTTTCGTTTCAGCTTCGACCCCGCGAGAGAGTTGGACTGTTAGGTCGCACAGGCAGTGGAAAGTCCACGTTGGCCATGAGTATCCTTCGATTTGTGCGTATCGTTAGCATATTTAGACCACCTCATTAAATGATCTCTAGGTCGATCCTACAAGTGGGCGCATAGTCATCGATGGGATAGATATATCTACCATCGGAGTCCACGATCTACGCTCCCGCATAGTCAGTAACTTGCCTACTCAGTGCGTTGCTATACGGCTAACGCCCGAGTTTCTGGCTAGACGTTCATACCTCAGGATGCCACATTATTCTCGGGTACCTTGCGCGACAACCTGGATCCATTCAGTAAACTGTCCTTAGCTTTCATTGTGCTCTCCTTACTCACACAAGCCCAGATGAGCACTCAGATGAGGAGTGCCTTGACGTGCTCTATCGGGTCCGGTTGCTGTCAGAGTCGGCTTATGAGTCGCAGCGGACTTCCCGCCAGGCATCGAGAGCCCCCTCCATCCGCGGCGTGGAGCGCGAAACAACCGTCGCTTCCTCTGCAGCATCTGCCACGTCAACTGAAGTTGAAGCGAAGACCACCATTTCGTTGGACACGCAGATCTCTGCCGGTGGAACGAACTTCTCCCAAGGTCAAAGGTAGGGACTACATATCCCTCGCCTGTGATATCTGTTGACATGAGAATGTGTGGGGACAGGCAACTTGTTGCTTTGGCTCGGGCGTTGCTCCGACGGAGTGCTATCATTGTGTTAGATGAAGCCACCAGCAGCATCGACTTCGCGACTGATGCTAAAATACAAGAAACGATTCGGGAGGAATTCAATGACTCGCTTCTGCTCACAGGTACGGAATTCTGCCTATCTCTTACGAGGCATAGGCTAACCCCGCCTGCAGTGGCGCATCGTCTGAGGACTGTGATCGACTACGATCGCCTCATTGTGCTCGATAAGGGCCAGATCGCCGAGTTCGACACGCCGTACAACTTGATCCGAAAGGAGGACGGTATTTTCCGTCATATGTGTCTCAGAAGCGGGACTTTCGCCGAGCTAGAGGCTGTGGCTAAGTCAAAAGCTGAAGGGACTCTAGGCTCCAGGAGCGTTCCACAAACCTAGAGTATCTTCCTGCCCTGAATCTTCAATTTTCTGTATCTCCGCTCTCCACAACAGGCACTGACGAAAGGTGGGCATAGATTATTTACTGTCCCTCTTCATATGCTGCCTTGTCTGGGATGTTTCGTTGATCGTCATGATACTTATTCGTATACATTTCTTGGATCGCCTAGTTGTAGTTGGTCATGTACTTACATCATTACAGCCATTTGCAGATCGATGGGCCCACTTTTTGAAAATCATTTACAGTCGGACCACGTTGGACAAGCAATTTCAAGTCCCCGAGAGACAGAAATCAGACCATCTGGACTTCTCTACCTTCTTCCGACGTCCCTGGCACCCACTCCGACCCACTCCGACTATACGTGGTTTTCTGAATTGATGGTCTATCGATCTGCAAGCGGCTGTATTGGTAAAGGGATCATTACGCTCTGGAACGACTCATGAGCAGTCAGAGACTCAGAGCAGATCAGTAGTACTAAGCGGTATTGCCCGATATAAACTGCATGACGTTTTACCATGTCACGTCGGGACGAAGCATCCGCGAAGTTGAACGCCACGTCTGCGCACTGCGGATTGGTTTTCTCTCGAAAGCCGTTTACTGCGAGAAAACCACAGAATCATGGATATCCGATTTTAGAAGGCGCGCAGTGGGTATTACAACTGTCCATGAATTTCCAAAGTTTTCCTGTTCCGTAGCTTTTCATATTTACTACACTAACTTTCGACTCCAAGCGCTCATTAAGACGATTGTATAATGCCTAAGGTGGTAGAGGGACGTATACAATTCTAGAAGAACAGTCTGAGGTGTTTCTAAACGCCGCGGAACTTCTTGCTCCCGTGCCACGCGTCCCATTTGCGTCCCGTGGTACGCCAATTACCAATTGGCTAAGCATCAAGACGAACCAGTACTGCGTCGATGAGGGAGTTCTCATGGACGATTACTCACGTTACTGACGTTGAGCGATCATACGCTGCAACATCCCAGCAGTCCAGGTTGCCGCTTATAAGTGCGAGACATCTGTAAATGCCCTTCAACTAACAAGCTGACAACTTCAAGCACTCCTTACCTGTCGACCACAACACGATCGCCATCTAACATGTTGCCTCCTGGCGTGCCGTACTTGGTACGGACTGTGGCCAAGCTGTCGGCGGTACCGGTTTCCACCTTTTGCTTCATGGACTTTCTTCGACGCGCATTCGGAATAGAGACGCCGCTGTCGCTTACTCTATTCCTGGCATTCCTTAGTTTCCCGGTATGGACGATGATCGTCGTCTGCGTCCAGTCCTGGAATAAGCGCAGAGACGCGGAGAGGATGGGCGCAAGACTCGTACCTGTCTGGAACGGCAGGTGGCCTGGGAACGTAGACCATATAGTGAATCTCATTAAGCTGGTGAATTCCGGTTATCCCGGTGAGCACGGCCTACCGAGTACCCTGGGCCTCCGCGGAGGTGACTAATTACTCGCGATTATACAGGTGAATACTTTTTGAGGGCATGGCCCGAAGTCGGAAAAGTGTTCAATACTCGGGTGCTTTGGGAGGACATCATCCTGACGGTCGAACCTGATCATGTCAAGGTTATCTTGGCCACGGATTTTAACAGCTTCGTTAAAGGTAAGTATAGACGCGACAATCTCGTCAAGGCGTCGGAGCGTCTCTGGAATGTAGTCACCCAAGTTATTGACCACGTTGAGTAGGAGACAAACAGAAGTACAAGATGGAATCCCTCCTAGGAACCGGTGTCTTCAATTCCGATGGTAGGCGCATCCTGTTAACTTTGTATGACATGTGTGACTGAGATCCTACGTAGGGGATATGTGGAAGTACGTTTACCTGTCTTATCGAAGTGACCTGGCGTAACACTCTGCAGGTTCCACCGGTCCATGACGCGACCCTTCTTTTCTCGAGATCGCATTGCTCACTTTGATATTTTCGACCGCCACGGCGAGGAAGCGATAGAGAAGATTAAGCAACGACAAGCGGAAGGCTACCCAGTGGATTTCCAGGTCAGCGAGACTTGTCAAAACACGCCCGCTCCGCATTGATGCCATACTCCTTCTACTTAGGACTTGATTTCTCGGTTCACCCTGGACTCGGCCACCGATTTTTTGTTCGGAAGTAATGTTAATTCCCTCTCGGATGTGCTTCCGTATCCGTATGGCGTAGATGCTGCCGCCACTGTCACCGACTCTCCCGTCGCCTCTCCGCCTGGATCCGCTGAAGCGAAAAGGTTCGCGGGAGCTTTTGCCGAAGCGCAGGATGTCATCGCGAGGCGGTTCAATATGGGAGAGATATGGCCGTTGTCCGAAATAGGAAAAGACAAGACCAAGGAGCCCATGAAGGTAGTGAGTGGATACATCGACAGGATCCTGGAAGAGGCCTTGGCCAAGACGAAAGCTGCGCTGCCGTTAGATACGGTGGATGCGAAGGTGGATGACGAGGCCGAAGACGGGGAAACTCTGTTGGAACATCTGATTAAGTTTACTTCGGGTGCGCGCATGTTCTCCGTCGCCTGCCGGAAGCTGGCGTGTGCCTGGCTCAACGTCTTTAGCTCTTGCTGACTATTCCCCTTTATATCGGCTGCAGATCGCAAGATACTCAAAGATGAGACGCTCAATATCTTGCTTGCTGGGAGAGACACGGTACGATCATAACTGGCCTCCACGGATTGGTCCGCCTTGTTATCTCGGGTCTGTAAACTCATAGGGGTTCACAGACCGCCGCCACTCTGACGTTCGTGATCTACTTTCTTGCCATGTACCCGAACGTCATGGCGCGCCTCCGCTCCGAAGTCCTGGACAAGGTGGGGCCTACCAGAAAACCGACTTACGACGACATCAGGGAGATGAAATACCTGAGGGCTGTAATCAACGGTCGGTACCTGACCCGGGCAAGGTCGGGTGACTGCCGAGACTGATGTATCTCTATGGAACAGAAACCTTACGGCTGTACCCCGCTGTCCCTTTCAACGTGCGGTAAGGGTGGTAAATATAGTAGTATCGCGGCGTACTCATTCCAGCGGCGACGTAGGCAAAGCGTGCGTGCCACCACATTGCCTTCTCCGAACCCTGGGCAGAAGCCGTTCTACGTCCCAGCCAACACTAGGCATGTTGTCCTTCTCACGCCATTCAGGTTGTGTATCTCCTGACATAATGATCACTCCGAATGTTTAGTGTTACCTACTCGGTATTCCTCATGCACAGACGAAAGGATCTGTGGGGTCCCGACGGTGAGTACCCACTCTTGGCAAAGTAATATACAAATTTTACTCCGGCCCCATGTGGAGTCACATTTGTCCCTGCCACCCGCGAATTGTCCGGCATTCTCGGAATTTCCTGAGAATTCGCAACGTTAATATGCACATTTCCATTCATAGCGGACGACTTCGATCCCGACAGGTTCATCGACGACAGGCTGAGGAAATACCTCACCCCCAACCCGTTCATATTCGTCCCCTTCAATGCCGGGCCCAGGATATGCCTGGGGCAGCAGGTGAGCTTCTACGGTCCCCTGCACGCGGCAGTCTGCTGACCGTGTCGCCCGTGTCAGTTTGCCTATAATGAGATGTCGTTCATGCTCATCCGCCTTCTCCAAAACTTCTCGAGCATCGAGTTGGAGCCGTCTGCTCACGCTCCCGGGACCTTGCCGCCGAAAGAATGGGCCAAGGCGGAAGGCCGACAAGCCATCGAAAGGTTCTGTCCTAAGAGTCATCTGACCATGTACTCTCGTGGAGGGCTCTGGGTACGTATGACGGAGGTAAACAAAGAGGATATCATAGTGTGAGAAGTTGGACGACCGTAGTCAAACGTGCCCGTGTGCAGGGCACACTCTCGATATTATCGAACGACGTCTCGGGCTGCGCATTTTATCTGTGTTCTCCCAAGTTGTATGTATGTTGACCATCACTAACCCGATGGAATATTCTCCGTCATAGTATCATTCCCTTTATATCATGTGTCTCTCGTAGGTAAGTACAGGGCGATATTAAGGTCGGCGACAATTAAGGCAGATCACTTGTAAGAAAAAGTCGAATAAAGTCTAGGGATACAGTCTGAGCACGTCGGAGCTTCTGGCCTGCCCTGCAGTACCTGCGCTGCGAGCGACTACGGTCATTGGGGCAGCTCTACGAAGTGTCATCAGTGTCCAAGTACCGTCCCGTAATACGACTGCTCTCACCACCCGCAATCCTCGGACAACGTGCCTTGATCCACCCGGATATAGTCCCAGGGCATTTGTGAATCTCCAGCATCCTGGCCGTTGAGAAGAATCGGCCACAGACACTGCAAACCCACTCACACTCCTTGCCATGCATGGCAACCTCGTGTCGTAGTCGATCGTGGGCTCGCGAGAACATCTCGGTACAGCCAGTCTCCTCGCGCATGGTGCAAGGGAGTGCTTTCCGAGGTAGTGTATTGTGGGTGGCCATGTGCACCCTGCGAGTGTATTCAGATGTGAAGAGGCGAGGACAATCGGGATTGAGACACTGGAATCGACGTCGCCGGGCTTGGCGAGGAGCGGACTTGGTGGTATTGACGCCAGACTTTGCACCGGTGGTTGGGAACGACGAGAAATTTCCGTTCGTGGCTGAAGACGAGGGAGAGGGAGATGCGGACGAAAGCGCCGCCGAGCCTGACGATGATTCTGGAGACGAACAGTTGTAGAAACTGGACAGGTCGAATTGAACCAACTTGTCGGATAGGAAAGGAAGCGGTGAGCTGGAAGATGATGTGACTGGCGATGATCGCTCTTCAGCTGGAGTCGGAGATGGACCGGTGCTGATGGGTTCCATCATCAGCGGTTGGAATGCATCCTGCTGGGATATGGTAGAGAGAGACTGATAATTATTCGTATTGCATGAGAAAGACGGTGTAAGGCGATTCTGGAACGGTATGGAGGAATAGTCTGCAGCACAGCTGAGGATGGCGCCTATAACCTGGATGTGAACGATCATACCGTCATGTTGGATTCCATCGGCATTCAGAGACATGCTGTTGGCCAGCCATTCAGCCATGTCGTCAGTATGATTTTGCGCTTGAGATTGTATGTTCATGGCTAAACCCTTTGATAAGCACCTAGAGCATACAAAAAATAGAAAATACATTACCAGAGATTTGATTTATGCTGGTTCCGAAGGCTTGTTCGAGGGCTTCGGAGAAACAGTACTCGAGACCTTGATGAGGCAAATCTTGTCCAACCTCGACGGTGCCTGGGTTGGTGGAAGCGAGGGGCACCCTCTCTTCGTGGTTTGGAGGGGAATGAAACAGGCCCGCGACGGTAGCTGAAGAATAACACTCACTGCGATCGTGGTTCGTCCCGTTTACTGCTGTTGGCTGCGTTGACAAGGGTGTGGAAGGGAAGACGGACAAGATAAGTGAGTTGCCCTGTTGCACAAGAGCAAAGTTGATGTGAAGATCGTTGGTCCAATATGTTTTAGCGCTGACAGCGTCAATCTCTGATAAGGGCGACACTCGAACCAGCAATATTCCATCCGGGGCGAAGGTATCAAAGGTAAATGAAAGCCGGGACTCGCAGAGATCTGTAAGGGGGACGGCGACGGGCATCAGGGCTTGCAATTGCCTTTGGGCATCCGATCGTGGCCTGCGTAGTTATGTATGTCGGGGCATCGGAATCAAGCTCCGTCATCGCTTCTAACCTTGTCCTGGAGTATCGGCAGAAGCCTGCCAGTGAGTGGTATTCGGTGGTTTGCGTTTCATCAACAGGGTGACAGAATCCGGTTGGATCCACCGCCTGGTTCCTGATACCGCGCTGACCACATTCTCTTCTACAGGAATGGCCCGGGGACGCACAGCAATCCGTGCAAAGCGGAAAATAACTTCCTGACTGCACCGCTGGGTAAAATCAGTGATGAATCCCACGGTAATAGATATGCCACTCCGACGAATTTGCGGTTCCGCGAGTGCCTATATGCATGGTCTTGCGAGCTCCAATCCAAATCGGAGTTGAAGTTGTCCCACACGCAGACCAAGTCCCCGGAGATACGTGCTGCCAACCCTAACCATAAACACACTGATCCCGATATCCTCAATCCCTTCCCCGTGGAAGCTGCCAGCTCCATGGACGCCACATGCAAACTCGGCATGTCCGTCTTTCAGAATCCAATGTTCGTCGGTCCGTTAGCTCTTAACACATACAGTCGAGTCTGTGAAACCCCATACCGGTCCGTGGACCTAAAAAGATATGGATTATCACAGATTATGGGTTACTCTGTGACAGCGTGTGACACTATAGTGAACGTGACACGGCCTCGTCGTCGGTAAGTCCCGACTATTGCTCGCGTGTGGGACACCAACGAAACGACAATTTGCACTCACTTTGGGACGAGGTTAGGATATGAATGGCATTTTATACCATAGATGACCATAGTGACACTGATTTATAGGTCAAAATCCCCCATTATGTGCTAATACTATACCAGATTATGGGTTATGATCACCTAAAACTCATGGATTATTGGGTATAACAGACTTATGGCTTTAAAATGGGAACCGACTGCATGGACACCAAATCCTATGGGTTATTGCAGGTTATGGGTTATGAGAGGTATGGGTTCTGACAGACTCGACTGTACCTCGGGAGTGGTTTAGTCCTTCCGGATTGAGTAAATATATATCAATACAATGAGAGAGAAGTGTTGCGCACGCGGTTCCAGACCTAGACTTCGTAGCATGGGATTGAGCTAACCGTCAGCATGATTCTCCTGCTGCCATTGGAGCTGCCTTTGCTCCGGGGCGAGTTAACTTATGAAGGGAAGTTCCATAATCGCAGGGACTTGAGAAAGTACGGGCGCAGTAGATGGCTTCGAGCGACGGCTTACTTGCCCGTATTCCTCCGCACCAGTCCAGTGAATAGAGACGCGTTCACGGCGCTCGCTAAGAATGATATTAGGTTTGGATGCAACACACTCGACCCGAAATAGGATCTGCTTCCTCGAGGAGACACGAGCATTAATCCGAAGAGGAGCTGGACAATTTTCGTTTCAATGGACGTAAATCCCTCTGGAAAGAAACACTTAAGATCGTGATTTATAAACAAGACGGTACCGTTAATGTGCTGGTGCTCCATGCATCTCTGATGACAATCTGTCGGTGCTGTTATATCTCCGGGTGCGTGTAAGTGACAGCTGGGCGAGACCATTCACTGCTGATCGTTTTGGTCTGGCTCTTGCACATCCGAACGCGGACCTTAATAGAAAAATAGAATGAGGTGATAGCAAAGTTGGCTCAGCTTTGCGACAGCCTTGATCCCGATTATCTCAATAACTCTATCGATCTAGATACCCCAGCTTTCCCAGTCAGTCTCTCACTTACGATGTCGTTCATAGGAACGTTGATGTAATCGAAGACATCCAAATGACGTTGAGAATTATCCTACCATAGGTTAATTGCGCGACTACGACCGTACTGACCACAAGGTACGGATTACGGCCATTGCCAGCAACACTGGCCAGCGGTCGGGAGAGGACTCCGTCCGTCAGCTTTTTTTTCAGCGTCCCTAAGCCTGGCTTGGCGGCGCTATAGTAAGTCGGAAATACATGACCTTGCAGCTGCTGCAGAAGAGAGGCTGTACCTTGAACTTCATAAGAGATGGTTATCTAGATAACATGAGAACGGAACAGTTGAATCGGGCTCACGTGCGACCAGGATAAGGCGATCCTGCATCTTTCAATGGGGTTTATACTTAGTGTTTCCAAGCCGTTGGCTACCGTGACCAACTCACCGAGCCTGTCAAGTCATGCGATCGGGTTCGCTCCACCTTCGCTGTCGAGGAGCTAGTAGAAGTTCTTCTTCACTACCTTCCAGAAGAGTTCATAACCCTCATAAACAGGGGGAGTTGCCGTACTCCTCGGAGGAGATAGCTTCAATGGCGGTCCTATCATGATCCAAAGATGCTACACACAGGTATATTCGAGGTTTGTCCGAGGGCCCGTGCTGCGGGTGATCTCCTACGTACTATCTTGGAAGATTGCATCGTATAGGTCGGCATGTGTTGCAATTGCGGCAGTCTGTAGCTGCGAAGTCGTGCTATGCCACTGGCACTGCTCACCACCGTCGTGGATATTGCACTTGTGCGCACGCTTTGATCGCTCGTGTATAGCCACTCAGCGTTTGCCTCTGCCGTTGTACGCGCTGATCGTAAATCCTCGGACCTACAACGTCAGAGAAGAACTCCACCCGTCGTAGCGCCGAATATGGTCAGATTCACTCTAATAGAGTACACACAGCGGATCGTACCGAAGAAGTAGTTCTTTTCACTTGGCTTCATGCCTGCTTGAGGATAACATTGATGCAGACTCAGATGCGCAGGGTCTGCGAGGCGTTCGTGGAAACTCTTGTCTCTCAGATAGCTGATCTTGAGGCTGTAGTCTGACCATGCACTTTCGACTTAGACTTGGATTTTGGTTTTGATTCAGAAGCCGCGGTCGCCGGACGGCAAGTTTGAGATACACGTGGCACGTGCTATATTAGGCGCCTAGGACTGCCCACTGCCAAAGGACAAATTGCATCCTCACGCACTCAATGAAGTATGGAAAGGGCTACCAATGATAAAGCAGCAGCTTCCCGAGTCCCACAAGAGTCGGCGTGGTTGTCGTCCGAAGGGTCTTCGGATGAAATAACGGGTCAGTACCGTGAGTATCGGAGATGTGGAGGTCGAAGTAACAAGAAGCACTCAGATACTTACGACTCCGGAACTTCTGACTCTGAGCCGAGTGAATCGGATGAGGAGTCTGAAGGCGACGAATCCGCTGATGATCAAGATAGTCCAGTCTCTCTGAAGGACACGGAGGTGACTGACGGCGACTTTGAGTACTTGCTGTTCCCCGGTCGGACCAAGGCAGTGGCTGAACACATTTTTTCAGTCGCCTGGTGGAGAGTCTGCGCCAGACCGACGTTGGCTCCGACACTTCAGGCTTATTAACTAAAGTATGGGACTTCAATGCCGAACAGCAGGATGCCGAGTTTAAGGACGACCTGCGGGCTGCTTCTGGTGTAGGTCGAGTAAAGAAGAAGGTCTGCGCTTCTCCGCCGATACACCCTTCCAGAAGACCCACGATAATTAATGTATCGGTTTCTTCAGCGAGGCCGACGAATTGGACCGGTGCTGTCCCAGCAGGTGAAGTCCCTGATTGGGGACGGCAACCAGGCCTATGTCGATAATGACCTCAAGGAATCCATCCGAATTATGCTGGAGGTCATACGTATTGAGCCGAGGGCTGCCTCCGCTTGGTCTGTACTTGCACAATGTCATGAAGACTTGGGCGAGATGCAGAAGGCACTGCAGCTGCGTATCATGGCAGCACATCTGTTGCATGACCCCGAATTGTGGGAGCGGCTTGCGGCACAATCAAAGTTAGTGATATATTTTCTATGGGCTTGATCTCTTCAAATAACGATTGTCCCGACCAGGCAGCTAGGGTACAACGAACAGGCGATATATTGTTATCGTAAATTGTACACCTTGGACCCAACTAACGTCAAAGCCCTCCTCGACCGCGCCTTCATCGCGAAGGAGATCGGTGACCTGCGGACGGTGAGGAGTAGCCTTTGCTCTATAATTATATCCTGACTATCCATTCCTCTCCATAGGCGCGCCACTCCCTTCTGACAGTGTTAAAACATATGCCCCATGACCTGGGGGTACTCAAAGAATTGCGGCCCATCCTAATCGAAACCTCTGACTTATCAACGTGCGCCTCTCTTTTCCAGTCCGCATTCGAACACTATCAGTCCGTGTTCCCGTCCGGGCATACCATCGATCCCGAGAGTGGTGCCCCCATTCCGGGAGGAGGCTTCGACATGATGGACCTCTTCGTTCTCGCCGACCTGTACAATACGAGCACCTTGGCTCAGTACGAGAAAGCCGTCCAGGTCATCAAGAGAGGTTGTCGCTGGCTGCAAGGCAGACTGCAACAGAGGTACTGGGACATGTGTGAGGATGACAGGGAATACGATGTGGATCCTGTAACAATGCCGCACTACGATTTTGTACGCGACGGCGAACCAAGGCCTGGAATGTATCCTCTTGACGTCAACGCGAGACATCGTCTGGCTGTCGCTCGAATAAAGATGGGAGATCTTGAAGAAGGGAAAGTCAGTCGACGTTTTGGTCTTTTATTGCCTTTGCAAGATCCTCACGAATTTTACATCCTATCGACCAGATGCATGCGAACATTATTTTGTCTGAAGATATAATGGACTACGCTCCGCTATTTGCCGAGATTGCGGACGCGTATTTCGAGCGTGAACTGTATGCTGAAGCTAGACATATATACGAACAACTCGGCGCGGACGCAAGTGTATGTCGAATGTCTTCCTATCCTTTGGAGAACCCCGAGGTTGACGTCCACGTCTTTCAGACAAGTAGTTTGTACGTTCTTTTGCAGGCTGCAGCCTGCCGTCGTATGCTGGGTGATTTGAGGGAAGCGGCAGAGGTCTACCATCATGGTAGGTTTCGCGCTGCTCCATCGAAACCACTCAATAACAGCTGACCACGTGGAAGTTATTCTCGCGGATCCTCTAAACAATGATGCCAAGATGAAATTGGCAGAGATATATGAAGTGTTGAATGAGCCTAGAAAAGCTCTTGACTTGGTGCACCAAGGCAAGTATAGCCGTAATGCCGGACTCGAAGAACGCTCATGGTACCCTACGTAGTGATTGACTCCCGTCGCAGGGTATATCGCCCCAATCGCCCAGATGATGAGCAGGGTACCCCTGCTCCTGGTTCTTCCCTTTTCGAAGAGAAATCACGTGGAAGAACGAAAACTGCACCTTCGAAATCAAAATCAGGATTGACTGCTGCGCAGGTTAAAGCGCTCGAAGATCAGAAGGAGAGGGAAGCCTTAAGAGCGTATTCGCGGATAAAGGATCTGTGGCCGGGAATGATGAAAGGAGATGAGGCATCCGAACGGGAATGGCTGTTAGAGGCGGAAAAACTTGTGGAGACCTTCCGAGAGACCAGAAACCTGTTCTTAACAACGAAGGTCAACTTCCACGACGCTTTCTAAGTGACCCCTTGCTCATTCGCCGCATAGCACAATCCATTTCAAGGGATGTTCCGTCAACGCCGTCCATCAAAACGGTCCAACGAAGCCGAGGAGGACAATATGGCGTCGCGACTGCAGCTTGAGCTCGGTCGGCATACGCACAAGTATCATTGTCGTGCGCAAGCTAACTTGCGTTTCTAGAGAGCGAGCAGTTGTCGCAGAAGACTAAGGATACACGCGGAAAAGTGAACGCCTTTCGAGGAGTGTCATTTGATGAATGGCTACAGTTGTTCATGCAGGCAAGTTCTGCTAGTGACGGGTTTTAGTCATCGACATAATACTCGTCCTTTGTAGTTCGCATTCCTTCTCACTAACCGTGGCCAGTACACCATCGCGGAAGAAGTGCTCCGGCATATATTATACTCAAATGCCTATCAAGAACCGTCTGTGAAGGATACAATCAGATTGGCTATAATAGGTTCGTCCCGTTCCAAAGTTCTAAAATAACTTGTCTTTATGGTAGTATCATAGCGTGTGCCATTCGTGCCGGTCAATTTTCCGTAGTAGTGGAACAGTGTCGTCGGCTAATCAACATACATCAATTCAACAATGAACCGTTCCGACTCCTCTGTGCCACACTAGCAAGTGGCTTGCCACAGACCGACGCCTTCATCGTATCCACTCTACAGAAACATATCCTGAGAGACTTGAAGATCCACGATACCGCGGTCAAGAACAGGGATGCACTTAAGTGGAACGTAGTCAGCCACCGGTGGACTATGGCTTCTGCAGGTTCAAGCAAGACAGATGATGGGGACGAAGGAGTGGATGACGATGCTGCTGAGTTTGTCCGAGGTGCAAGCATAACGACTACAAGCTCGGACAGCGCCAAGCCGCCCTATCCGACCACACACAACCCCATGATTGTTGGTATATACGGTCAAATTTGTTGCGCTGCCAAGAGTTATCAAAGTGCCATATGTATGTTCAACCTCCCTTCAGCATGTTCACGTTTAACCATCATTTCAGTCTACTTACAACATGCTTATGACTATTGCCCGTATGACCCCCTCATTTGCCTTACTCTGGCGGTGGCTTCGATAGGTCGTGCTATGCAAAGGCAAGCGGACAACCGACACCATCTAGTGGCGCAGGTGAGGCAAGTCGGGCAAGATCGATTCGATCATGTATTCAGTTCTTCTTCACAGGGCTTAGCATTTCTGTCGAGGTACCGCACGCTGCGCACTAACTTGTCGCCTAATTTGTTGGACGAGGTCGAGTTCAACTTTGGCAGGGCCTTCCAACAACTAGGTAGGAACTGCACCATGCTTGCCTTCTTCGCCTTTGGTTAATGCAAGGCTACAGGGCTTCACTCGCATGCGGCTCGACATTATGAGCATGTCTTAGCCCTTTCCGAAGATAAACGGGTCCGGCACGAGGTATGTGCCAGACTCCCGAAGAATGTCCTGTATGCGTGACCTTGTGCTAGGATATTGGAATAGCGCGCGAAGCTGCGTATAATCTCTCGTTGATATACGCGACTACGGGTGCGACCCCGCTGGCACAAGCTCTTTACCAGAAGTGGCTTTCCTTGTGATCATGCCAGCTGTATCTCCATTTCTTGTTGACGGCAACTGTAGGTAACTTCGACCGCTTTCCTATTATGATTAAGACAAATCTTCAGTCTCCGGTGACGCATCGTTCCTCGTCAGCGACAGCAGGACCTACAAGGTATCACGATCAACCAGCCAATCAAACTATGGGTCTGTTTGTGGGTGTTGTCTATCAAGGGGCGGACATAGAACATAGATATGGCCGTCTTTGGTATAGTACTCTCATCTCTGGCATGATATCCCCACCCTTCCCCTGTCGTTTCCTGCAATCCAATAATATCCTGGGCAGTTGGCGACACCTCTCATGATTCACGGATCCAACTGATAATGACAGAAAGGGACCTTACGCGGTAGGCCGACGTCTCAGCATGACACATGCCACTGACAAGGTCGATCACGTCCCCTTCAGAGTTCGGCGTCTCCCCGGATACTCTATCGTCTAGGTTTCAACGGAGAGAAATGCTACTGCACGTCTTTATCTGCCCTTATACTCAGCCTCTGACTTATCGGGGGGGTGGCTGTTCGCAAAAGTCTGGTGGATATCTGGTTCTGGTATTGTTTTGGTGTCGTAACCATCACAATGGCTAACACGACATTGTGGGCCATTGTGAGTGCTCCGGTTATAACCACTAGCATGCGGGATTGGAGGAATACTAACGGCTGAGGGGGGGGGGGGGGGGCTCTAAAGCCTCCATGCACATACTTACCGCTTTCTCGAATGTCCCTTCGAATGTAACTTGATGTCCGCCTCCACCATCATGGAATATCGCGAGGACATGAAGGTGCGTGCTAAACCGGTCATGGCTCTTTCTGTCTCATCACTAATGAACCAATTGCTAGCACCCGTGCTGCCGGGCATCTTGATTAGTTCCGAAGGGGGGCGCTTACGGAAAGGCGAATTCTCCGTAATATCACATGGACTGCCGTTCTATCCTACTCTCCTCGATAAGCGAAGTAACCCAGCTAACATCCTTGAATGCTCACATAGATAGAGCACGGGTTGTTCCGCGTTAGGGCATATAAAGTTAGGTGAGATTTATTGGACTGCCGGACTGAACCACGAGCGCTCTGTCCTACTAAGCATGTTGTCTCTCACATCCCACATCGCGACTTCATTCTTGACTCTGCTGACAGGACTCACGATATCGCTTGTTGTGTGCGTTCTTTCTGCTTCGAGCATAGAAGTAATCCATCGCCTGACCTATCCAGTGCACGAGTCATTAATCGACTTTTCTGGTCGCCTCTTTCCCGCTTTCCTGGACCCCGTCTTGCAGCGACAACCAACATTTGGCAAGCTTTTAAAGGGGGCCAAGGAACCATTAGCAGAGACCTTCGCGCACTGCACGTCAGAACAGGTTACCGGATCCTGAGATACGGTCCGAACCATCTGAGCTTCTGGGAGTCAGTTGTAGTTATTTGCTCCATTTATCGATTTTCTATTGATGGTTGTCGTTTAGTCCTGATGCCTACAAGGTAAGTCTACCGAACCATTTCTGGGGACCGTAGTGACACGTCATCCAACAGGAAATTTATGTCAGTCAAAGATTCCCGAAGTATCCCAAATTCTACTCAGGATATCAGGTGTGTAAGATCATCCATCTCTCAAAGAGTTCAGATAACCTGTCTGCCTCTAGATGCCTCACGGCTCGGACAGCCTTTTCACGACGATCTCTAATTCAGCTTCGCTTGCTCGCCGCCGACAGCTAATGCCCTCCCTCTCCCGCCAATCAGTGATGGCGACGGAACCGTTATTTCACGAGCAACTAGCGATCTTCGTCTCTAAGCTCACAAATATGGCCCATGAGCGGCGGACCATAAGTCTATTGATGGCCTTCAGGTGCTTGACTATCGATGTCATATCCCTATACGCTTTTGGGCGGAGCATTGGTACAATGCAGTCAGAGGCGTTCGATTCTCCGTTGTTGCGGAGTTTCGATAAGTACGTAGAAGGCCTATACTACGTGAGTTTCAGGCGTGACTCGTAGATCTGGGGTTAACGAACAGGACAGAGATCTACATATCCTCAAATCGTCAAAATATTGGATCATCTCCCATCTATACTACAGCCTGCGTGTCTGCGAGGATATTCGTGAGTTGATGATTGCGTCTTGATGCTACACCCCAAATGGACATATTTTATTAGAACAATGAAGATGGTACGTTGCCAGTGCCTCGCGCGGCCGGATGGCAATTGTAACAGAAACAAAATTCCAGCTCTCCCGCAATGCTTTGACCGAGTATCGGTGTCAGAAAAGAGACGTGCGTGTAGTTCCTACTTCACGTGGGCTTCGCTCACGAGGCCAGTGGCCCCAGTACAAGTATCCTGTGTTGTTCGCCAAACATGTTGGACAGGGATCAGGTCTGACGGATGACGAACTGTGCTCGGACGCTCACACGATGGTCAGCGCTGGCTCGGATACCGCGGGTGTGTTTTTGCTTTTCCTCCAAGCCTTAAGTCTGTATCTTGAGATTGTGGTCGCTTCATTTCAGGTCTTACTCTCGCTCTCGGAATATTTTATATATACAAGAATTCTGAGATACGAAAGCGTCTTCATAACGAACTAGGAGCTGCATATCCCCACAGCAGCGATGTTCTCAAGGCACATTGGGCTGACCTTGAGAAACTGCCTTTCCTTTCCGTGAGTCGACTCGCCTTGAGTGGAACCCGCTCATGACCGATGTAAGCCTCCTTAGGCTTGCGTATATGAAAGCCTCAGGATTGCGGTGCCTATCGGAGGAGATCTTCCACGAGTTGTCACCGGTGGTGATTGGCAATTCAAGGGTATTAGAATTCCTGCCGGCGTAAGACGACTGCATTGGCGGCTGCTAGTAGGCCGATCACTGATATAGCCAAATAGACTGTGGTTTCATCGAGTGCAAACGCAGTTAATCTCAATGGAGACATATTCCCAGAACCTCAGCGCTTCATACCTGAAAGGTGGTTAGACGAGCAGGGTCGCTTGTCAAACGCTAAGGAGACATGGCTAGTAAGGTAAGCATCTGGCGTTTCCGACGGTTGCTACGCCTCAACGGACACTTTCAGCTTCAGCAAGGGCCCGAGGGCTTGCATCGGACAGAATATGGGTGCTTACACTGCTATGCCGACTCCCTATTCTACGCTCATTTTTATCTCCCCTAGCAGCAATGGCTGAGCTTTATATCTTCATGGCAGCAGTTGTTCGTCTGTTTGAGGCCGAAATACCCACAGACAAGGACCGCATCGACCTACTTGAGCAGTGAGCACCTTTCCTTGTCCAGTGCATGCCATCTCACGAATCGTCAATAATTTTTACTTGGCCTAGCTACGGATCAGTGCCCGTTGGATATGACTGCCCGGCGATCTTCCACCGTATCGCCGAGACGATTGACTAATATCGAGGTCGGTACCATGTCCCCAAAGTAGTCGCTTCACGTAGTATCTCGAAGTACTTAACAACTGTAACATGCATCGTCTCCTTGCATTACTCTGCTATGTATGTATCAACATCTGTGAGCTTCAGGAGGAACGCGAATCGATTGTCACCTGCCAGAGGTAGCCAGGAAATGCGATTTCGGGCGAATCATCAACCACCCAGGTGGTTTATATGTATCAAAGGGACATACTATACAGTACTTCAGCAACTAGCAGGTTACCGATACTGATCATGGAAGTGTATAAACTACAACAGTTGGAGGCGGGGCTTTTGATCTAGGAGCTCGGACGTATGTACACCTAATACTAAGTGATTGAATGGCATGAGTCAGACTACTGAGGAAATCCTTTCGTGAGTATCGAGTCCGGCGTCGTCATCACGCACCGTACTCCCACTCGTCTTCATCCTCGTCCTCATCGTCGTCTTGCCAGACGGCGTCGTCATCAACGAGCGGGCGCTCCGCCTGGTGCTTCTCCACAGCAAGCCGCACCTCGTGCCACTTATCCCTCTGGCCGGACCACACAACGCGGTCCACTTCGGTCCCCACCACCCACTCGAGATTCGGGAATATATCCAGCAGTACCGCCGCGACGACAGCCGAATTCTGAATGAACGACTCGCCGACATATATCGAGGTGATCCGCTTGTCCGCCGGCATCTCGGGCCGCCGCACAACGTCCAGGACTCGCTGGCGTTCCTGCGAATAGGAGGAGGTCAGGCGGGCGTCGAGGGGGAGCGAGAGGTGAGCGAGTTTGGGGCAGTTGAGGACTAAAAAGGCTAGGCCGCCAAGCGTGATCTTCGTCTGTCGAGGCAGACCCTTGTATACACCAAAGTGCAGCGACCGAAGTCCAGGCCATGCGGATGTCAGTGAAGTCAGGATAGAATCGTCGATGTCGAAGCCGCATTGGACATGCATCCTGAGATGACGGAGCGCCACGAAGGCTCGTAGAGGGTGCAATGCCGTACCTGAGATGATGTACTCTTCTCGCAGGATGGCGTCGGAAGGCAGGCGCGCAGGGTTCTGCAGGAGACAGAGATGGCGCAGGGAGTCGTGGGACAGCCTCAGTTTCGTAGACAGATCGGCGACAAAAGATCCTACAGACTCCGGGTCAGCGTATTCTCGTACGGAGAAATAGGCGTGTGTAAGTATGCAGTGTTGTAGGAGGTCGAGCATGTTCGCGCATTCGGACAAGCGGTTAAAGGCAAAATTGACGCGTCGGAGGGAAGGGAAAGGATTCTGGGCGGTAGGAAAGCTGCTTCGGCTTCCAACGAAGGTGGCCGTGTTATTGAAGTCTAGCTGGAGATCTTCTAAATGGGGCAGGCAAGACAGGGCAGGTGATATTTGCGCAGCAAAGGGAGCATTGCACGAGAAGCTCTTGAGACTCTTGAGTTTGGGAACGAGTCGACCTACCGCAAGGTAGACTGATTCGGTGATAGCAGCTCCATATAGGCAGAGAGCAAGTTTCTCAAGCGCGCTGCAAGCGTCAACGAGATAATTGAGGAAGGGTCTGGTGTGGGCTTCTGGACAGACACTTGTGACGTGCAGAGACTTCAAGCAGGGAGTAAGCAGCCAGTATATCATGCGAAGCTTGTTCGGCGTCTCCGCGATCCAGCGCAGATGAAGGAGGTTAGGCAGGATCGAGAGCCAGTGGCGCTCGTGTGAAATTTTGGGAGGATATAGGTGAGGCAACTGGGAGAACAGTGATTGCTGAAGACCATCCATCATCGGCGAAGTTGTGAAAAGTGATCTCACAAAACCCGCATAGTAATTGAAGCGGTCCATGTCAGACATCTGCATGGGCCGTCTCAGCGTCTGCAGGCCGTGTTTAGTAAAGCGGCGAGCTCTCGTTGGGTAATTGAGGCTCACAATGGATCCTCGGTCTTGCGACCATAAATCTAAAGGTAGACATTGGATCAGCGGGTTCAAGTCCGTCAGCTCTCGCCACAGCACGCTGAACGCGGGCGCTTGGAATGCTCTGCATGTCCGCGCAAGGTTTGCAAGCGTAGGCGGACCGTATTGGTCCGATGTAGTTACGTGTTCCAGTACTTCCATCAGGATTTCCGTGACCAGGAGACACCTGGGAACGTTCGCTGGCGTATCCATGTACATAACAGGTGTATATTCCAGCTCCATAGCGGCTAGAGAATTCATGGCAATCAACGTGCAGTTCCGAGGGAAGACCTTACGAAGGCCGACGGGTACGTACCGAGCACGGACATAACCCTGCTACAGACTTGAAACCAGTAATTGCTGGCTAGTATAAATTCCTCGCACAAACCTGCGTGTCCTGAATGAGTGGTAAAGACAAGGTGGACAACCTCAAGGTATGACGCGCTGATGCACATTGGCGTAGCGATATTTATAGCGCTCGGCGCTTCCCCCGAGCAAGCGCGGATTCAGGCGCTGAAGCTCTGAGCGCTGGAGCTTGCGTTCCAGTCACCGGTCCAAGCGATGGTCGAAACGGAACGTTGTACTCCATGACGGTAAAGCAACCATGCAAAGATTAACCACTAATTTTTAGAGGTTAATCAACCAAGACGAACTATAAGGCATACGATAGTGAGTGTAGTCTAAGATGGACCCGAGGTTTGAATTATGATCGGCACATGTACAATCGACGGACCAAAACATAATCAAGTACATTGCCACCCACCCACGAAATCCGAACTCCAAATAACCTATACATCGTTATATACCTATAAAAACATATCCGTCCAACACTACAGATCGTTATACTTCTTCACTGCAACCACAGCGACTCCATCAAAGTTTGCCATTCGCAGCTGGTTTCGGTATGTCGAGCTTCATACCTGCCTCGATCGTCTTACGCTTCTCCTCGCTATACGGTGGATAGCGGAGGGCGAAGTGAGGCTCGTAGCTGTCAGGTGCGAACGGCGCTTAGTGCGGATAATGGGCGGAAGGTATGTGGCTCGAAGGCTTACTCGTAGGGCACGTCAATGGAGGAACGAAGATGCGTGAAGCCGTCGTAACTGTACTTCATGATCTGGTACCCGTCTGGCGGAAAATCCTGTCAGAACTGAGAGAGAACATATTGGGTGAGACCAACGTACAACCAGACTCCCCAATACCACCGAAGGGTATCTCGTTCACTGACGGCAGTCAACGATGTACAGCAGTAAATACTGAACGTGGGACGTACCAGCAAGTTGTTGGAATGTGTCATTGAACACGAGGTTTCCACTCATGGTTTCAGCGATGACTGCCAGCACGATGAACACCTTAGAGAAACGAGTGGCACAACGTCACTCACGTCTATCCTTTACTTCTTGCTTCTCTGTGAACGCGTAGATGACCAAAGGGTGGTCCCTGCTTCCCAGTCAGACAGCGCGCGACTATGATCGAAGCCGGCACGTACTTGGAATTCACATAGTTGATAGCTTCATTCAAGTCTTTCACAGGCACAATCGGCAAGAGCGGACCGAAGATCTCCCTGTCATAAGATTGAGCACCGAGGTCGCCTGTGAGAATAAAGAGTGTGATGACTTACTCCTCGAGCAAAGAATCTCCCTCTCCGACATCCTTGATTACAGTGGGTTCAACAGCCAGCTTACCATCCGACTTGCCACCCAATACAATCGTCCCCTTCGTCCGGCGGAGCATGTCCATAAGGCGAGCATAGTGCTGCCCGTTGACTATGCGCCCGAAAGACTCCGAATTGAGGGGTCCTTCGGGGAAGAACGACGCACAGTGCTCCTTCAGCGCGGCTACGAGCTCATCCTGCTTCTGCTCTGGTATCAGGACGTAGTCCGGGCACACGCAGATCTGCCCGGCGTTCGTGCACTTCCCGTAGAGGAGACGTTTCGCCGCGATCTTGATGTCGCACTCGCCGTCTATGATGACGGGTGACTTGCCGCCGAGCTCGAGTGTCACGGGCGTGAGGTGCTTGGCTGCGGCCGCTGCGATGATACGCCCAACCCGACCATTGCCAGTGTAGAAGACTTGAGAAGGCACATCAGCATCGATATTACACTCATACATTCGGAGGAGCGTACTGTGATCCCATTGCAACTCAAGGAGCTTTGTGGTCTCCATAACTCCCCCGTTTACCACCCTGTAGGCCTCCGGATCAAGGTATTTCGGCATTAGTTCTGCTAGGAGCTGAGCGTAGGCGGGGGCGATCTCGGACGGCTTCACCACAGCGGGGCATCCAGCTGAGATGGCGCCAATGAGAGGCTGTAAGGACAGAATCATAGGATAATTCCATGGCCTGTATACCAGTTTAGCCCGACTGCCCAGGAAGAATACCATAAAACTCACGCAATGATCAACACGACGCCCTTCGGTGTCTTATACAGCGTCGGCCGCCATGGCTTCTGCCAATCCGCCACCTCCGGGTGCTCTGGCTTCGCCCACTCTTCCAGCGCCTCCGCCGTCTTCAGCGTGCGCTCGATGAGCCCAGCGATCTCGCCCAGCCATGTCTCCATCCGCGGCTTCCCCAGGTCCTTGCCCATCGCCGTCATAAACGCCTCCTCGTTCTCGCGCGCCATCCGCGCGACCTGGTACAGCTGCTGCCGCCTCCATTCGAGCGGGCGTGCCTTGCCCGAGCGGAATGTCTTCTTCAGCGTCTCCCGGATCTGGGCAGATCAGTGAGGCCTCCGAAAATCCCTACTGCAGTTCACGTACCTGCGGAATCTCGTCGACGGGTGTGTGCAGGAGGGCAGACATGGTGGAACGGGGCAAGGGAATCTCGGTAGAGCCTTGGTCTACATTCCGTCTAGCTTGAATATATACGCGCCTCGGGCTCCATAGACGCACGAGATATTCATCCGCATCCCCCACGATCGTAGGTCCATTGTGAATTTATAGCCGATATGGTTGGTCAGCTTTGGAATCGATAGTCCGAAGTAAGAGCTGTGTACAGAACGGCCGTTCTCTCTTTGGTAGTCTGTTCGCAGTGGCCCAGCCGGCTTTTGATAAACAAGCAGGCACGGGTATCCCTATCAGACATCGCGACGGCCTAAACCGAAGTGAGTCGTGGCAAAACAACGTAGAAGAAAGCCTGGATCACGCTGAAGCAGCCTTGGAGAGGGAAGGCAGTAGGATTCGCACTTCCCAGAGCTTCGTTCGTCATGATGCACACGGATTCCAAATGCACGAATATCAGAATGCGATTTCTGACATATCCATTTATGGCAGTAGCGGTTACCGTTGCCGAGCAGGACCAGGTCGACTTTGAGCGTCGCGAGTTCGGATTGTGGCGTTGGGGTCTCTGTGGCGTGGATCTGTGACCTGTAGTCACATTTCCAGTAGCTAGACGTCTACCATATATAGTGTGACTACCGCCATACTTGGGTGGTACTGAAGGCAACTTCGAGGCCCAAGCAGGAAGCATTGTTCATTCAAGCCGTATTGAAGCTTCAACTAAGTAGCAGCTTCAATGGTGACATGTTCAATGTTTCTCTACATTGATGATACAAGTTGCCAGGAGATGAGACTGGTCACACTCAGATTTAGTAGTAGCCTAGGACATGTACTTAATTCACTGGCCAGTTTCTGATACCAACATATAGTCCACTGTCGTTAGCTATCCAACCTACTATAAAGTGCAATACATTGCTTCAAATAGCACTTTCCTCCACTGGAATTCTTGTTGGAGCCTTTGAGGGTACTTCACCAATGTACCTTGTTACCTTCCGACTCGGGATGCGTGTTAGAGAGTCACATCAATCCTGAAACACCACCACTCCTACAATTCCATGCCGAGTGTATACAAGCTATGACCGGACTACATGGTATTTCTAGATCTTCAACAACGAAGCAGAGTTGTCACTAGTACTTATACCATAGGCAGACCTTGGTAATATATAGTATTGCATAATTCATACAGAGAAGGGTGCTAATTACACATATACTGTACCAGACTATGTATATAGGCTCTCTCCATACTCTCTGACCTAATATAAGTGTACTTAGAGAGCTCATAGAAGTCAACAAGCATTAGCACAGGAGGAACTCGATATTTAGAGGTGGATGTCACTCTCTTCCATCACGCGGTGCCAGGACCCCGAGTGCAAGCCCGC